TGGCAAACTGGCTCAGGGAATTTTGCGCCCCCCTTGTGGCATAACTGCCCAGGTGTATTGCTGCCCCTCATGGATAAAAACGAAGAAGTATCTGCAGGGAGGATACAAGGGAACGCTGGAGAATGCATTTGCCAGGTCCACCACGGTGAAATACTTTGCTGTTGGAGATACCCCTGTGAGTAAAGTGTGGGGATTTGGAACGATAGGTGTCTCTAAAACAGTGGCTTCATTCACTGCTCGGAGGTCCTGTACCATCCTGTACTTCTCTGGTTCTCCTTTGGGTGTCTTTTTTTTTTTTTTTATCGGGAACAAAAGTGTATTACATGGAGAGGTACAAGGTATGAGTGCACCATTTGCCACAAGGGACTTGACCTGCTTCGAAATGGCCTTGGATTGCGCTGGTTTCAGTGGGTACTGTGGTTTCCTGGGTAGGGGAGCTCCAGGCTTCAGTTCCACCATAATTGGGGGTACCTTTTAAACGTCCAATATCTTCGGGTCCTGTGGAACATAGACAGCTTGGGATTCTGCTCAGCATATCCGGTGCCACGTAGAATGTACCATTGACTTGTAAGACCGGACACACTGGGTAGAGGCGGCTCACTCAAGGCGTTGGCCTTCCATTTGTCTAATTTGGTGTACCAATATGGCCGCCTCCAGGAAATGTGCTGGGCAGGAAGGGACAAAGCAGGTGCAGCAAGATGGCTGCCATCAGGAAGTGTACTGGGCTGGGCAGGAAGGGACAAAGCAGGAGCAGCAAGATGGCTGCCATCAGGAAGTGTACTGGGCAGGGCTGGGGTGGCGGGCATAAAGTGGGCGTTAGATGAAGGGCAGGGCTGTCCCTCCCCTCCTCCCCCACATTCCAACATAGGGCGGTGGTTTTAGCACACTTCCAATAACAATTTTGTGATACACATACATTATACAATTGCCATTTTCTTGAATTTCTTCCAACTATCCTTCTTTATGCAACGCTTTTGCAGTTTTTTACCAAGCTTCTGTCACGTTCAGCAAACCTTTTTTCACATAACATTCCTCTCTGTTCCTACAATGATTTATTCCAGTCCTGACCTTCAGCTTACAAACTTTCGCTACTTTAGATAACTTTTTAACTGCTTCACTTCCTTCACACCTCTTCACAATATGACATGCCAGTAATCCTTTTCAATATTTAACACATTAATGTTACACATAAACAGTTTTTTTTTTTTTTTTTTTTTCCCTGTAGCAATACCTGTTCTGTCCACTACTCTTTGTGGATAACTTTGGCTACATTATACCAAGCTTCTTGCTGTCTTCAGCAAAATTCTTTGTCAACTAAGACATCTTTCTTCTTTTTTTTTTTTTTTTTTTTCCTTCGCCATTCTTTTGGCTGTAAACGACCTCCCTTATCTGTGATTCCACATACTTTCACTAACTTAACTAATCCCTTCACATACTGCTCCCCCTCCCTCTGTGCAACCAGGTCACGTGCTAACATTCCTTTCTAGGGGTCTTATCAGCGTCTGACCCATCTCCTCCTGTCTCTGGTCCTTCCTAACAACAATCTAAGACACTTCACAGGCTGCTGTCCAGACTTTCCTTAACCCTTAACAAACCCCAACCTTCTGTTATGAACGGCAAACATTAGCTCACAGACACACATTTAGGACATAACATAGCAGTCTATCTTGGTGGGCTATGAGTACAGATCACTGAGTAAATCTTCGTAACCCACACAAACAGTTACGGCAACCCGCTGTCACACTACAGTGACGCATAACCCGACACCTCCTCTCTTGTGGTCAACATACAAGGTTACCACACACCCAAGAAAAATTATGTGTCAAAACCCTCAGTAGGTCCACTCCTCTTCCACCTCAAGACTGATACATAAAAAAACACAACAGAGACCCAGGTAACAGATAAGCACATGCAGGTATATTTAAATAAACTCCGGGCAAGCAAGGTTACCTGCCTTTAGTGACCTTTAGCAGCCGTACTAGGCACAGGTATGAATCAACAACAAAGACAGGATAAGCAATGGTAAGATAGCAAAATATATCTTAACATGCACCAGAGGCGATCAATCTCGGCCTGTCCAGTTTGACTGACAGCTAATGCCCTTTTCATGTCGGCTGGCTGCAGGTTCATTACTCAGTTCCCGGGTTTCTTGGCACCAATTGCTTTAGTCACGGACTGAAATCGTCCACTGCTTATCTGTTCCTGTCCTAATTGATGACGCTAGCTTTGAAATGTGCGCACATTGGAAGGGACTCACGCTGACACACAAGTTCAGTCTATGAATACTTCTAGTTTATTATAATGAGAAAGTGAACTTATATATGCAGAATGATGCGAGAGTCATGTGACAACAGCATAAGCATTATATTAGTCTTTGATTGGTCATTTCCACACGAAAACAATCTCTGTCATGGTATAGGTGTGATCTTCTTCCGTCTTATCTCATAGAGAAGAAAAACATTCCTTTGTTTCCCAAATCACACGGTGGGAGGGGGTCTGTGTGTGTGAGCAGACATTTCTTAAGCAAGGATTTCTTATAGTACCACAAAGCCCAGCAGGCAGAAAATATTCACACAACATATGTATAAAAGTAAATATTTATAAAACTTATAGAAATAGCGTATATATATATATATATATTCAATAGGAAACGAAATAGGCATTTTACCAAATCCATCACAATGGTATTGCTTCCTCATAATTTTTCAGGACCTGTTTATATCTAGACTGATCATTGCACGCAAAAACATTTCATATGTGAAAAAATGAAACTCAAGAGTTCTGCAGAGGCAGAGGCATGATGGGACTTGTAGTTCTGCAACAGCTGAAGGGCCGCCAGTTTGACATCCCTGCACTGGATGATTTTCCATCTGATCACACAGATATAACATGAATGCCATCTTTTTATTTTTAAGGGAAGTGCTGTAGCTAGTAGTAGTTAGTCACATTCATCTGGACTTGTGCAATGTTGAACACCTTTTGTTGGTTATTCAAGAAGCATCCTCTTGTTCTAATGAGCAAATCATAAACCAACGTACCCCACATTATTTATATCTTACCTCTGTACAGACTATTCCCCTTCAGTCTGTTATGAAAGCTGCTGCCAGAATCATCTACCTTACCAACCACTCCACTCGCCTGGTTCCTCCATTTGCCCAATGAACAAAATTCAAAATGCCAACAATAACATACAAAGCCTTCCACTACTCTGCCCCTAGCCACATCACTGACTTCGTCTTAAATTATCACCCAAAGCTTCCTCTCAGTACCTCCTTCTCTCTATCTCCTCCTCCCATGCTCATATCCACGACTTTTCTAGAGCCTCTTCCATCCTCTGGAACTCTCTATGCCAGTCTGTCTGGCTGTCTCCTCTGTCAACATTTATGCGACCCCTGAAAACTCATCCCGTCAGGGATTTCTGTACTGACTCTGCCTAGCAACTGAACTTTTCTTTCTTTAGCAACTCATCCCTACACAGTTATTACTTTTGGTACCACTTGCCCCTTTTATTAGACTGTAAACTTGCATGAGCAGGGCCCTCCTAACCCTCTTGCATTTAATTGATTATAACCACTTTACTTTCTTCCTTTGTGTTGTAAAGTGGTGTGCAAACTGTTGCAACTATATAAATTCTGTATTATAATATTAGTAATAATAAAAATATGCCAATGTCAGCAATGATCTTTCTCAATATTTTATTAGTTTTTATGTTCATTTGTACAACATAATCAAACATTGCAAAAATCTTCTGCAAAGAAATTGAAGATACTACAAAAAATGTTGAGGTGCATTGTAACAAATATAACTACAAAGAGGCTTCACGGCCTGTTTTGCTTTGCGTCTATTAGGGTTACTTTGCAAAAAAGCAAGGAAGCATAGAAACCTCTGTGGTGTATTAATGTGCTTGCTTTACTAAACAAAAAATGCTTGGTTCTTCCTGGTGGTAAATCTTCCTCTATGCAGAATCTCTCCATACTGGTTCTTCCCATAGCCCTCCAGAATCACTGTACCTTTGTCTTCCAACACATGGCTTGTTCAAGTCTTTTCCCCTCCCTTCTTTTCCTGTAGCATCCTTTCCTGTCCTGAGCTCATGAAACAGTCCAACAGGTTTGTTAGCACATGAATAGGGGAGGCCTAGCTTCTAAAACAATACATTACAATCATTTTAACTTTATGCTATAAAAATCACTAAAATAGCCATAGTAACACACAGCCTAGTAAACAAAGACACAATTTAAGCGTCTCTGCAAATGCAAAAAATGGTAGCAGCCAATGGTGACATTAATAACACATGGTCCAATATGAGGGTATAGCACATGAAGGAGGATGAAACAGGCTATCCTAAGGCATAGAGGGACTAAAAGGGAGTAAAGACAGATGGAGTAAGTAAAAAAAAATCTGGATCAGACCAATGAATCAAAGTTCACTGAGACAGCGGTCAGAATTCCCCTGAAGGCAATGGGGTCCAGGGGTCCCAAACCCCTCTTAAATTTAATCTCCTATCAACAATTTAACAAGAGCTTATTGATTATAATTGGCTAGCCCCATCCATCAGATGTTAATTGTTCAAGAAAATGATGCGTAAGTTTACATAATTGATTACATTATCCAATCCATGGTGCCAGGAAGTCTGAGAAACGTGTTAATTGAGCTATTTGGGTGAAGTGTATTTCCAATGATTTCCTATCATTTCCTAGGTGGACCTAATCCTTTCTCACTTATTGCCAAACTAAAAAACAATATTTTGCCTATAGGAGCTTTAAATGCACAAGTTTAGATACTTTCTGGAATATGGTATGTGGCTGACAATAAATGTAACGATCCCTTAAATTGCCCTCTAACCCCTTGTGTACTGTTTGATGTTACTGTTCTGTTTCATGTATTGTCCCCCCTATTGTACAGCGCTGAGCAAACCCTTTGGCGCTATATAAACACGATAAATAAATAAATAAATTGATCCTATTTGTTTATATTCACACTTAGGTTATTAAGCTTCCACAATACATTTTCATTGTAGGTCGTGGAATCGTGCTTGGAAGGGGTTTGTAAACCAGACCCTCGTATCTATCACTTGTGTGCCGAGAGGCTCAGTGTTCAGCCCTCAGAGGCCATCTTTCTGGATGACATAGGGCAGAATCTAAAAGCTGCTGCTCAGCTGGGCTTTGCTACAATCAAGGTCAGTAGCTACCTACCTATTAGCACACTTGGTTTTATTCATTTTCATCTCATTTTTACTATTAGGCATCTACTGTGCTAAACTTAGCAACCAATCAAATCCCTTAAATGTAACCTGTGCTGAGAGAAATATATAGGCATCCACGGCTGACCTCTTTTATAAAACATTTGTTTCTTGGCTGCCATAGATGTTTTGACTTTAATACATAAAAAGTAGCCATAAATGGTTGCATTTTTACCATTCTGCCAATGGGCTGAACAGAAAAACTGAACCCAATCTTTCATTCCACACATTCATGGTGGATGGAGGGATCCTCCCCACTGCATTATTAAATTCTGACAAAGGGGAGACTCCTCTGCTGTCAGAATACACAGATCAGCGCTGCCTGCTGATCAAGCAGCTTTTGTCTATCAGGGGGTTTAAACTGAAGTCGATCAGTAAATGGAATTCAGTTCAACTGCAGTGGCCACACATAGCTACAACTTTGGTCGGTCCATGCTGAACTGGATGAATTTCGATCCATCTATGACCACCTTTAGTCATAGCATGCAAATTATTTTTTTTATTTGTCTTATTGATAATATTTACACAGAATACAGGTACAAGGAGATGTAAGTGCTTGCAGGCCCACCTTATAGTTTGTCATTGAGTACATTGTACAGGCTGCTGAGAGTCATACCCAATACACCATTCTAACTATTGACAACTATTAAAAAAAAATAGTAGCCTCACCGTGACTCTTAGTAGATTTATCGTGTGTGATTAGTGTGATCAGTTTTAGATTTTCCAGGGATAGAGCAAGTGAAAAAAAGAGTAAGTGATGAATATTAACCCCTTCACGCCTAAGGGTAAAACAAATCTAAATGCCTAAGCACAATTTTGTAACGTTGACGTGTTAGTAAAACCGTACATATCATCACAACTACTTTGTACATCCGGGTGAATTATACCGCGTTGTTTTCAGGACAAAAAAGAAAACTGGCCCAAAATAGTAAAAAAAAATCATTTTCTTTTATTTAGCTGTGTGTTTCTTGTTACTACCATAACCTACCACCAAAGAACAACCCGAAATAAATTCTTGACTATCGCAGTGATACCATATATGTGTATGTTATTTGTTGTTTGTACTCGTAGTACAGCCCAGAAACAATAGTACACATTTTGTTTTTGTCTTTTTTTACCTAAAACACACTGACACCAAATTGTTTTTTTAAATCCTGACCTTGACCCAAACATTAACCCTGGAACTGAACTAGATCAAATCTTGATCTATGTATTTTTTTTTCTTTATTTTTTAACATTTATTTATATATATATTTTTTACAATTTTTTTTCCCTCTATACCAGGAGTTAGAGAGATACAATGTATCTCTCTCCTCCATTCATAGAGAGAGAAAAAAAAACAAGGGGGCCGGGCTGTACAGTGACTGATCACTGTGACAGCCAATCAGAGGCTAATCACAGCGGTCATGTGACCCGGAAACAGGAGTCCCAGGTCCCGGTCGTTAGAACGGGACCCAGTGCTCTCAGTGGCAGTCTTTCTGCTGGTGAGCGGCCACCCCAGCACAAAGACAGGTATGCAAATATGCAGCCCCACGAAAAAAAGCCCAGTTCTGTGAGGCCGCATATTTGTGTTACGTCAGCGTCAAGGGGTTAAGAAGGAACAGAGGAGAAGGTTCAGGTACAGGGTAGGGTCAAATAGCTAGACTGAAAGAGGGATATAAGGACAAGGGTACGGATTAATGTTGGGGGGGTTGAAGAAAAATCAATCTAATCTAAAATCTAATTATACTCACTGTGTGCTTGTTCTGGGTCTGTGGTTCAGAGTGTATATAAGGACCTCATGACAGTCAGGCAACTAGCATTAGCAGTCTACATTGTTGGCACTACTAGCCTACCTTTTTCTCTCAGCACAAGAATTTTTTTATTGTATTGTACAAGGTGTTCATGGTCAGAGGGGATCCAAGTTATATCTTAAAGCTGACTGCACATATTACAAACTGATTATACAGTTCACTTTTAGGTTTGCCAACAGAGAGCCTGCTTGACTGGCTATACATTGAATGGATTGCTTAGATAGGACCAACTGTTCAGTCAATTTGTAATGTGTGTGGCCAGACTTTTAGGGCCAGATTTATAAAGCAGTGAATGTGACTTTCTCTAAACATTCACAGGTATCGAATCAGTTACTGGCAATTAAAATGCATGCAAAAGGATGATTCACTTGCAGACAAGATCACATTAACTGCTTCGTAGATATACCCTTAGTGTTTGCTTTTTATTCATAAAATGAATTATAGTGATTTATAATACTCTGTAGCATGTTTCTCTGAGCTCATTATTGTTAAAGATAGCATAAAAATGTAAATGTGTAAACTACAATTAAAATGGAACTGAGCTAAAAAAAAAAGTGAATATTTGTTATGGAGAACATCCAGAAATGTTAATTGTGCCTAAGCATTAAAACTGTGTCTTGAGTGTGCCTACAGCCTCAAAGCTTTTATATCTGTAGTGTGAGATCTAAGGCACTGTGCCTCTGACTGACAGTGTTAGGAAATTTGGACTGAGATTGTTGATGCCATTGTTGTGATTTTCATGTCAGTAATGGGGAAAGATCAGCATCACAGGTAATACTGGTGACCAGTGCTTTGACCTATGTCTGCATTTTTTAGGGTACAGCTTCCAGAGTTAATTTCCACTTTAAAGACAGACCTTTTTTTTTTGATAGATTGTGAAGTGCTTAGCATTTTCCACTCTTATCCCACAGACACAACAGAAAGGGGTAATCAGAGGATGCTAAAAATTGGTGATTAAGCTGCAGTTTTACCATCGTCCCCCTCTTCTATAAGTAGCAACAGCAGCCGGACAGGGTTGTTCATGTGCCTCTGAAAAAGGCTTTTTCCAGGTTAAAAGATGAGTTCACCTTTAAAAAAAAAAATATTAAAATCACATTTTTTTGCTAATAAAAAATTGCATTTATTTATTTTTTTCCTTGGGAGCCTGTAAAGCATTGGACCCATGATCAGCAGATCATGGGAGCAATGTCAGGTTTTTGCAGACTGTCAGTATACTGTCTGCCCGTATGTCCGATATGGGCAAGCAGTTACTGAAATCCAGGAAGCTCAGTGGACTAGGAAAGTGCTCACCGGTGCCCTTGCAGTTCCTTGAGAACTACAAGTCATCAGCTGCAATGGCTGACAGTACTTGAAGGCAGGCATTCACAGAGCTCTGTGAATGAATGACGCGGCTGTGTGGGCGGGGCGTCACACTGCCCTGCTGTTTTGAAATTGTGACAGCCAGTGCGGGGGAGAAGGTCCCCTGCCTGCTGTCACAAAGAGGGGGCGGTAGATACTCAACATGTTGCATGTTACACCCTAAATACAGATGTAACATGTTGAGAAATGTAAACTTATCCTTTAAAGCAGTCAGTGAGGAGACTACATATTGCTTCCCAGCCACCTGTCAACCGCCCTCTGAAAAGTGTTCGATGAAGTGTGAACAAGCTTTTAGAGAGTGGAAATCTCTCAAAAGTGAAGGCTTACCCCATTGAAAAATTTCCTCACTATTCCTGTTCTGGTTACAGCTGCAATGAAAACCCGATGGCTTCATCACTTCCCCATGCTTAAAAAAAAAAACAAAAACTATATATAAAAAAACATTCTGGCTTTAGATACACTTTAACCATTGTAAATATTACTGTCTTTGGAATTAGCAACCCTCTGAGCTCTTAGCTTTCTGGATGGTTCTTGGGGACATCTGTGACCCCCAAGGACAAGGATGACAAGAAAATATGCAGTTGTCTTTACAACTAACACTTTTGTGTCATACAGGTGAATAATGTGAAAGAGGCACTCGAAGATTTAGAAAAATTGTTACGGTTCCCTTTGAAAGACTTTGTACCAAACACTCGTGCTGTGAGACCCTCAATGGAGATTTCAAGGGATTCCTTGAAGAAATATCTGGAAGATCTGTTTGGAGAAGTTCTGTCAGGTATATAACTGTCCCAGCAAAATGTAGCCTGTAATATTATGCCCACTGTAGAATGTCAGCCTTTCATTTAGCCTTCACTTCAAATGATCACAAATGATTACTCTACTAAAGGAATTTACTTAACAGTTGCAAAGAACCTGTTCGCCTTCTTCAGTACCTAAATGTCTAAAACGTTTTACAGTGTTCTTCTAGGCCTGTTTTCAACAGACTGTACATCGCTATTTTTGAAAATGTTTACAGCTGTATTTTGCCACCTGATTCTCCCACCTGAGCTGTGGATCTCTCCTGCTCCTCCAGTTACCATGGGCCTCTTGGCTGCTTCTCTGATTAATGCTCGCCTTGCCCAGCCTGTCAGTTTAGGTGGATGGCCATGTCTTGGTAGGTTTTCACTTGTGCCATACTCTTTCCATTTTTGGAAGATGGATTGAACAGTGCTCCCTGAGATGTTCAAAGCTTGGGATTTTTTTTTTAATACCCTAACCCTGCTTTAACGTCTCCACAACTTTATCCCTGACCTGTCTGGTGTATTCCTTGGCCTTCATGATGCTGTTTGTTCACTAATGTTCTCTAACAAACCTCTGAGGGCTTTACAGAACAGCTGTATTTATACTGAGATTAAATTACACACAGGTGTACTCTATTTACTAATTAGGTGACTTCTGAAGGCAATTGATTCCAATAGATTTTAGTTAGGGGTATAAGAGTAAAAGGGTCTGAATACAAATGCACGCCACACTTTTCAGATATTTATTTGTAAAACATTGTGAAAACCATTTTATCATTTTCCTTCCACTTCACAATTCTGTGCCACTTTGTGTTGGTCTATCACATAAAATCCCAATAAAATACGTTTATGTTTTTGGTTGTAACATGACAAAATGTGGAAAATTTCAAGGGGTATGAATACTTTTTCAAGGCAATGTAAAAGTAGTACTAAAAACTAAACATTTTTGTACCTTAATGCTTTTTTTTTTTTTTTGTATTATGGCCCCCACTACTTGGCCTACTTCCCACATAACCCCCCATCCCCTATACACTTACTTGCCACTGCTGCCACCAGCTCCAGCATCGCTCCGCTCACTTTTTGGATTCACGGGAGCTTTGGAGGACATCAGTCATATTCCTGTAAAAAGCCAGTGGGATCATGGCTTTCTGGTGCAGTGTGTGGACACATTACTCCGAACTGGACCCAATGGGAGCGCACATGCACGGAAGCTTCCTTAGCAACCAACTTGTTACAGGAGGCAGACGTAGGAGGGGAGGATCCGACAGTCCTGATGGAGATTGATAAGACTAAAGAGTGTGCTATGGGGGCACATGTGCAGCCAGACCCCCCCGCTCCCTCTTTACAAGATTTGACTGACAGCAGCAGGAGAATATGGTTCATGCTGCTGCCTGAGTCTCTTGTGAGACCAGAAAGAGGGGATGGAAGAGCTGCAGCTGGGCACAACACTAGATAGACAGAGGATACAGGTAAGTGGTGGTGGGTGGGGTGGGGCACAAGTGGTAAAACATTTCAAACCTTAATGCAGGGAATGCATTAAGGTTAAAAACAATTTCAACTCTATAACCATTTAACTCTGCACTATGTACCAAAATCTAAAGTATAGTATTTGGTTGGACTGAACTTGTATTGCATACATTACCAACCTATTTGCTATTAAAAGACAAAACTCAGATTCATATTTTCTACAGACATTGTTTATAAATTGGCAGACAGAATAATACAAATGGATCAGGTCTAATTGGACTGCAACAAAGCAAGCTAAATTGAATATTTCTCTAAATGATAAATATACTTGTATATAAGGTACTTAAAGTGGAACTCCACCCAAAAGGGGAAGTTCCGCTTTAAGCCTTTGTCCCCCGCTCCCCATTAAGGATTGGCACCTTTGAGGAGAGGGGGGGATGGGTAGCCAAATTTGACAGGTACCCGCTCCCACTTCCGCTGCGATCGCATAGGCGATCGGAAGCGGAAGTTGTCCTCACCCCTTCTCCCCGTAGTCTTCTGGGACATGTGACAGGCCCCAGAAGACTATGGGGCCATTCATAAAGCGCAGCGCTTCTCGCGCATGCACAGTGTGAAGCCGCAAGCTGTCACAGCTGGGTGCCTACACTGAATATGCTGGCACCGTTGAGAGAAGACGGCTGGTGAAACCAGCAGTGGTGAGGACACCACTGGACCGAGGGGCAGGTAAGTGTCTGTATTTTAAAAGTTAGCAGCTACAGTTTTTGTAGCTGCTGACTTATTTTATTTTTTTTCAGGTGGAACTCCGCTTTAAAAAAGCTGTAACTAAAGTATAAGCTGGAGTTTGGCTTTATTTTGTTAGTGTATTTAAATTTGCTAGTACATCTAACACTCCCCTCCCCCCGACTGACAATGCTGCTGTTCAAAGGTGTTTCTGTGCTTCTTCTCCAAAGTAGGGGCACCTAATACAGGAGGTGTGTCTGGCTAGAATACCAGGTGAAAATAGAGGGAAGAAAGATTAAAAAAAGAAAAGTAATGCAGCCACCACATCTAATGGATGGTAAGCTGCAATATATTACATCTCTGGTTTTGGGTTTAATTCTGCTTTAAATCGATCTACATTTAGCCCAGCATGGGTTCATGGGCGTTCCAAACACCTTTTTTTTTTCTACTGTGTCTAGTCACTGAGCTTACAATAAAGAAGAAAAAGGATACACTGCCGTATCAGATGTTTTCTACCGCTAAATCTGCTAAAGATATACTTTAAAGTCAAGCCTGGGGAAGGCCTTAGTCGAACATATTTTCCATGTAATTTTCAAACACTTCATTTTCTATAGGAAACAATGCTATCAATCACTCACACAAAATGCATTAAAACGAGAGACATGCAACAGCGAGTAACACATGGAAATTGATGATTTTAATAAAAGGTAGTTCTTTTACATACATTTTTAATCATGCCATGCTCTTATTCATATACGTTCGTCTGGCTTTAGTCATTACCAATCTGGCAATAGTTTGTGTTATTTCCTATTGAATAATGGACACCCTGGGAATTTAAAGCCATATGTTTGTTACCTGTTGCAGGTTCTCTGCTTGTTCGTCAGTTCAGCCATGGGCAGTCCAACCCCACTTACTGTGTCAGGTTCAATGGAAAGCAATTGGTACTGAGGAAGAAACCTCCAGGAAAACTGCTGCCTGGGGCTCATGCCATAGAAAGGGAATATAGGTAGGTTTATATTTTTTAACTTGGCAATATATCATTTTTCAGTGGTCTTCACATTTCTAAGGATATCATCTACAGTTGGCAGACTTGGTGGAACCGAATTAATTGTCTCAGTGAGGTATAGTCCCAACAAATCTGTATCTTGTAGATGTGTCCTTTTATGGTGGTTTACATGAATGTTTTTCTCCCATTTAGTCCACTACTCCTTTAAGGGCAATAATTGATCAAATTCCAATTTCTGGTCATCCATATAGCCATGCATTTGGAAGTCGCTGTTGTTACATTGTTTTATTTTGAAGATGCTAGGCCTTCATCAGTTGACCCATCAAGGAATCTAATGATTGCTTTGCCACATGGTTTTTTACAGAGTGTAACATCTGTGGGTTTTTTTTTTCAAATATCTTAATTTCCAAAAAAGAAATTAAAGAGTATGTAAACCCAACATTTCATATTCCTGATATGTGCCTGTTGTATCATGTTCTTGTATGAAAAAGTATTCTGTTCTCTTTGTCTTATTTCTTTTGTGTAAAATCCTTGGTGTGCCCTCTGCATTCCTATTAAAAACTGACCACACTAAGCATGAGAGCATAGTCTTGTTAGTTCTCTAGCTGTGCTGGGAACTCAGTGTGCTCTCCTCCAATGTTCAAACTGATCCTAACACGTGCCCTCTGACAGCCATTCAATGAGAAGTTCAGTGTTCTTTTGTTTCTCCACCCTCACCTCATCACTACATCTATGCAGAGGGAACAGAGGATAAGTGATCACTTATAAAAAAGGGAAAAAAGTATTTATAATTTTTTTTTATATCTATACACAAATGTTTTACCTTTCATTTCTATTTTAAACTATGAGTTATTTTACAAGGTGAGAGCTTACATATAGTTTAACATTTATTCCATGTTACAATATATATATGTGCACAGAACATTACCATTTACATAGCAAAGAATTAAAGCAATTCTTATATTCCAGTTATATACATTTTGTCCTTGATGTGTTCCACTAATACAATTAGACTATATGAGATTAAATAAATGTGCTGCGCTACTCCTTGCTAATATAAACAACTTAACAAAAATAAAGATAAATAAAAAACAAAAAACACTTGACAGAGCCCAACACCAGAGCTCATACATGAAAAACTAAATAACCAACATTAGGTGAATAACAAATAGAATCAACAAGCAATAAACACCTGACAGAGCCAATGACAAAAGTTAACAAAAAAATTAAATGAAGTGTAATGATAATAAGTGAAATATGATCATCCATTAAAAAAAATAGTGAGAAATTAAATATATAATTGATCGGATGGTGTGCATCATCTCAGCCGGGTGTTACTGTGACTTATGAAGATTTTTTGCACAAGATTGGGACCATTTTTTTTTTTTGACCCGTTTATAGTGTATGGTTTATTGACAGGTTCTCTGCTGGTCATTTATTGCTTTTTCAAATTTTTTTCATTCATCTACATGCTTTTTGATGTTTGATGATATTGCATCCTTGATACTTAGTGGGTTATATATTTAATTTCTCACATTTTTTTTTTTTTTTAATGGATGATCATATTTCACTTATTATCATCACACGTCATTTCATTTTTTTTACTTTTGTCATTGGCTCTGTCAGGTGTTTATTGCTTGTTGATTCTATTTGTTATTCACCTAATGTTGGTTATCTAGTTTTTCATGTATGAGCTCTGGTGTTGGGCTCTGTTAGGTGTTTTTTATTTTTATTTATCTTTATTTTTGTTAAGTTGTTGTTTTATATTAGCAAGGAGAAGCGCAGCACATTTATTTTCTCTCATATTTTTCTTATTGTGGGAACACAGTTGGTGTTTGCCGCCACTCCGGGTGTTACTTTTAGGGATTGGCAGCACATGAGGCTTCTCTTGCATTCAACAATTAGACTATAAAAAACAGATACATTGTCATAAATACAAAATATATGCCGTTTTACTATGCATCTCAGAAGGTGTTACCATCCTGTAAGTTTGTTTAGTTCCCACAACAAAGGCACTAAAGATGGCTGCTAGACAGAGCAATTGTAATTGTAAAATCTTGTTTATATGTCTATACTGGATAACGGAGTTTCCTTTCTACTATAAAACATCAATAACTAACTTTACCAACACATTTTAACTCAGTTTTTGATTGTACCCTATGAGTGCAGAATGTAATCCAGCCTTAGGTTCATGCTAGGCCTTGTAGTCATTCACTAGTTAGGGGGAAGGGTGCTGTCACATCCTCAGCTCTGAGGGGTTCATGCTGGGACCTGTAGCCCTTCACTTTTGGGGGGGAGGGGGTCACACAAACCCCTGAGATCTAAGGATGTGACCTCCTCCTCCCTTCCCTCCGAGGGTGTCATCTGTCCTCTTCTGCTGTCCTCTCTGTATAGGTCTCTGCCTGACTCCCTCATGACACAAATGGTCCAATCCCCGGCCTCATGTCAGAGTCTGATTTGAGACTCAAATCCAGTTTCCTGTCCTCTAAGCATACTGCCACAGATGCTGGAGGAGGTGGGCAAGCTAACCACTTGTGGCAGAGTAAGCAAAATTCTCCTCTGCTCTGAATGCTGGGGCCTCATCCTTACTCTGCATTAGGTGGTGTGACGTCACTGGTTGCTAGACGCCAGGCAGTCCTAGCAACCAGGGGGCAGTAGCAATAGTGGTGGAACAATCAAAAACAGGCCTCAGCCGGCTGGGACAGTAATACTTGATTGCTGCCTGTGAGTAAAGCTGTGCTGTGGTGGCCTTTTTTTTGGGACATCAGCTTGACCTGTGTGTCTCTTCTGCCTGGGTGACTGCCTGCCTGAAAAATGGCACCCAAGACAAATGTCTTGTTTTCCCTGCGGTAGGTATGCCCCTGACTGTATCCTAATCAAGATGTTATGATGAATGGGGGATGGTATTTTCTCATGTGACGTATGCATCAGTGTCGTCAGATGCCAAGATGCCATCAGCCCTGATTCTAATCTATAGTTTGAGAATTCTGATGTACCTCTCACCCAGTCCACAACATGGCGTAGTAAGCATGACAAGTTTTGCAGTTGTATGTTGGGTAAGGCTGTTTATCTGACCTGTTTTAGATAAAGTTTTTTCAAGACTTTACATGACCTCTTTTACTGCCATATAAAATTACTGAAGGATGTATTTAAAGTGTTGCTATTAACATGTTTCAAACATCTGTGTTTTATCATATGTTCAGTTAAATTGTACAGGTTTACTTTTGACAGCCTGACATAATGCATGGGTGAGGATCAGGATGTTTTGGGGTACCCTCCAGACAGGGCTGGATCTAGGGGTGTGCTAGGGTGGGCTATGGCCCCCCCAGATTGTACTTGTGCCCCCCCTCAGTTCTCTGAGATTGCATCCACTGATCCATGAGCCAGTCTGATGCAGACAGTTGATGTAAGGGGTCACTCTGATTGGGGCAATCCATGCATGGTGGCACTCTGGTGGGGACAACTAATGTAAGGGGACACTCTGATGGGGACTGCTGATTTAGACAATTGTTGTAGGGAGGTACTCTGATGGGGACCCTGATGTAAGGGGGCATTCTGATGGGGACAATTGATGTAGGGAGGTTCTCTGATGGGGACCCTGATGTAAGGGGGCACTCTGATGGGGACACCTGATGTAAGGAGGTACTCTGAAGGGGACCCTGATGTAAGGAGGTACTCTGATGGGGACCCTGATGTAAGGGGGCACTCTGATGGGGACACCTGATGTAAGGGGGCACTCTGATGGGGACACCTGATGTAAGGGGGCACTCGTATGGGGGCACCTGATGTAAGGAGGTACACTGAAGGGGACCCTGATGTAAGGAGGTACTCTGATGGGGACCCTGATGTAAGAGGGTACTCTAATGGGGACCCTGATGTAAGGGGGCACTCTGATGGGGTCACCTGATATAAGGAAGTACTCTGATGGGGACCCTGATGTAAGGGGGTACTGTGATGGGGACACCTAATGTGCTCTTATGGGGACACCTGAAGTAGGGGGGTATTAAGATGGGGACATCTGATGTAAGGGGGCTTTCTGATGGGGTCACCTGATGTAAGGGGGGACTCTGATGAGTAGTTTTGATCTAAAGGAGACTGATGAGGAATACTGATGTAAAGGGGGACTCTGATAGGACATCTGATATAGATGGGCACAAGTTTTGTTCACCCTTATCTAATGACAATCTAATACATATTAGTGTTAACCAGGTCATGACACTGTGTGACAGACTATCAGTGACTTCCACACAGTTTTGACATTTGTGTTCCCTGACTTTTTTTTTACAACAACCCCAGATCAGATAGGCTAGGTCCGGCCTGACTCGGCCCTGCCCCCAGAGATTATAATGGACTCTTTTGATGTTAAAAGCACTTGTTATAGCTCACAGAGGTTACTTTCCCAATCTTTCCTGATTCAATTATTTTAAATGTGAAGTGTTAACTGCACATGCACCAGTGAAATTTGTAGTTCTACCATGAACAGTGGCTGGTCCCGGCACATAGACAGATATCTGTCTGTCATACTTCAAATTTCAAGGAAACTGCATTTATATTTTTGACATACTTTCCTGCTACATTTATACACTTATCCAAACATTTAACTAATGCCTGAAAAGCTTCGGCATATAGAAAAATTTGTCAGTACTCCTGAACCATCCAGGGACAACCTACTTCACTTCATCATCAGTGCTGCAATTCGTCTCTTGTGCAACTTCATGACAGGTTATACATCATTTATCCAGGATCAGGCGTTCCATGTGCTGAATGTTCACAGGAATAACTGCTGTGGGCTGGGAGCCACAGCGGCCGGGATCGTCACCGACGGACGTACAGCCGTCTTTGAAACGTTTACACCATTCAAATGTCTTTACTACGGCTGAGCGTCTCATTGCTGTACTGTGCTTGAAGTCTTCTGTAGATATCTGTGGGTTTTGCGCCTTTGTTCACAAGAAACTTCATCACCACACATTCTTCCATGCACACATGAACACTGTTGTCTGCCATCTTGATTACCGGTCTCAGGACTGGCCCTGCGTGCCTCCTATCAGTAATAGGACACACTTGCCACTTACTACTGTGTGTAGTACCTCCACGCTTGCATCCCTTTTAAAACCTGTAAAATTAAAGGTCCCGGTTTGACTTGAACCCCCTGCATGTATTTGTCTGTCTATGCATAGCCTTAGGGATAATTTGGCCAGGTCACAGGGATTTTCCAACTTTGATAATGAGCTCTTCCTATTTCAGAGACACTTGTTTTCTTCTCCAAAGGATACCATTAATGTCCTGTTCAATCCTCTTCCACAGAACAGCCCCTGCTGCAGCCTTCCATCTTGTTACTTTCTACAAAGTTACAGTTTTTAGTCTGATTACTGGGGAGAAAAAAAACTGAGGAAATGCTTCCTCCTGCCTGCAGCATACCTATGACATCATGTCAGCGTAGGCAAAGTCACTTGAATGTTGCTCAAGGGCTGCTTTTTAATTATAAAAGGTAAAGCATTTTAAAAAAATGACACTGTTGTATATTATGAGAGTAATTTAGACATGCAGGCATGTAAAGTTGCTGAATGGTCCGACATCTGATGAAATGACACTTTTCTAAAACATATGGCTTTTTTTTTTTTTTGCATTATTTAATCAGCATTGACTTATGTCATATTCTTTGTAGGGTTTTGAAAGCACTGGGTGAAGCTGGTGTTCCTGTACCAAAAGTGTTGAGCCTCTGTGAAGATTCAAGGTATATCAGAGTGTGAATTGGGGTGTATTTTGTGATCCAGAAGTGGATTAAAGTGTTACTAAACCCAGGACCCTACATTTACTAAATCTGATCTCCCACAGTAAACAGATCATTGAAATGCAGTTAGTTTAGTAAAATATAAACTGCTAAATACCTTTTCTCATCAGCAGTATATAGCAGTCTTGTGACTTCTATCAGTGTCTGGTTGAGCACTGGTTAAAACTTGTAGGAGGAGTTTGCATTCTCCTCTGACTGTCTTATGAGGCTCCATGACTCCTGACCCTCTGTGTGGACAGTGCTGATTTGCCCTGTACTGATCACATGCTCCCTCCTAAAAGACAAACAAACCAAAGCTCTAGCAATACACACCAAACTGGGCATGTGCAGAGTTCCTTCTAGGGCTCTGTAATATCAGCAGATGGATTGGAGACTGTAGAAGAAGGGGAGAATCAGAGAAGACAGGATCAAACAGCCTTTTTTATACAATGCGGAGGATTAAACCCCTTAGATTCCACAGTGGGTATAACAAACATGCTTTACTGCATTATACAGAATGATTTTTACTGTTGTGAGTTAGTAACCTTAACCTTGATTGTTATACAGTATTCTATTACATTAGAATAAAATATTATGTTCTTGGCAGCGTCATTGGAACTCCCTTTTATCTGATGGAATATTGCACTGGGCGCATTTTTAAAGACCCTGCCCTACCAGAACTGGATGCTAAAGAACGTCAAGCCATATATACAGCAATGAATAAAGTTCTGTGCCAAATTCATAGTGTGGACATCAAAGCAGCTGGACTAGAAGATTATGGCAAACAAAGGTATAGTCTTGCAATAAAGAAACTCTTTCAGTAATGTGGAAAAACTAAATATTGCCCTGGGACTTTCTATGGCAAAAACCACAATGAGTATGCAAAAAATATATAAAACGATAATGTTTATTATAACAAATTAGCATGATAAAAACAAATCAAAAGATTCGGTATAGTAAATTGTACTACAATGATTCCTATATCACATACAAAAAATATACACAGTGTGCATAAAACCTGACAGGTTGTGATACATCAATTGGCAGATGGGCAAGCAGCCCAAGAGAACTTGTACAGTGATGTTGTTCAGGCAAATCCAACACGTTTTCAGAACTCTAATTTCTTTCTTCAGGGACTAAATATGTCATAGCAACATATCAAAGAAATGTGAACAATAAAGTGACATAAAATCATTTTAAAAGTATGTAAGAGAAAGCTGATTGCTCAAACACTTACAAATTGCACCACATCGAGTAATAAGTAACAGGTATTCATAGAAAAATGAATGAGGATGCTCTCCAGGTGACACATCAGGGAGGGAGCAGGCAGAGACGCCTCAAAACGCCATCCCCCAGCGAGGACCACATGGCAGCAGCCAATGGGGGGATCTGGCGAGTATAATAAAGGCCGCATATAAAGGAGTCTAATATTCATTGTTGAGCACATACGAACATATAATAAATGTATAACTTAAACTAATAGGTTGTTGGCATAGGGGCTCAATTAAAGTATATACTATGATAAATTGGCAAAATAGGTTCAGCCCGGATAGAAGTAGTAAAAAATACATATGTGGGCCCAAACAAACAAAATAGACTAAACCCTTCAAAACGAGAGCATAAAAAATAAGAACATGTGTAGCTGCTCACGAATTGTGCCTCTGTATATCAAATGGAACCACCCTTTATCCAAGAGGAGTGCATGTGCCTAGGATCTGATATAAATAGTAATGATCAAATGCTCCAAAATAGTATTCATTTTAGCATTTATATGTGGGGGACTCTGATTTGTGTTTGGGTTTTACTGTGGAATTTTGTCAAATGTGGTTCACTGATCACATTTTTGCAATATATCCCTGGCTAGGGATGCACGCACTATTTTGCACTATTTATTTTTACTTAAGTGATCCCTCAAATGTGGATTTGAGGGGGATCTTAGATCTTTTTCAATTGTTTGATCACGTGTGTATATAATGTATCACTGTATCATGTATTATATATTGATTCTTTTTATGATCCTTACACTGTTTGAAGGGAATTCGTTTTATAGCGTTGCACTATTATATATTTGTTTTGGAGTCACATATACCTTGGGGTTGAGGTATCTAGTGCCAGCAGCTTAGTGATAGGGATCTAGATGAGGATCAGTGGACAGCAGTGTTTATAGCTCCTTCCAGAAGTTTCACTTTCCCCATGCAAAGGCTGACACAGCTTTTTTAAAACTCCATAGAGTCTATTATTCCCCTCAAATGTTGTTTTCTTGGGGTGTCAACCTTCACCTAATTGCCCTTGTTGTAGTATGCATATGGGCAAGTTAATTCATATGTTATGGCACTGTCCTAAGTTACTTCAGTATTGGATAGATATACAGTATTTAGAATTATTAGAACTTTGTTCAATTCAATTGACTCCTGATCCTAAATTTGCCTTGTTAGGCATATTTCCAGAGGATTGGCCATTATTTTCCCAGAAAATGTTATTTACCTGTTTATTATTTCTTGCATGTAAGTTGATCTCCTAACCTGTATTCAGTGGTTCACGGCGACAAATGCTGTGCTGGATAGATTTATTTATAAGCACAGGGGTTGTATAAATACATTTAAATACATTTAATAAGATCTGGTCGTCTTGGCTGTCTTCCCCATACATAGCCTCCACTAGTAGGGTTGATCTCCCTGTGTTGCTGCTCTGTGATGGGTCTATGGTGCATAATTTAACTGAATTATTGATTGCACTATAACCATAAACATTTCTTAGCGATGACTGCTATATACCGGAACAAATTATTGTTATTGTTACATTTATTTATTTAAAATTATTTGGTTTTTTTTTTTGGGGGGGGGGGGTTCTTTTTGTTTTGTATAGATATTTGTGTTATGTTTTCTCTTTATATGTGTAAAAAGTTAAACTTATAAAAAATATTTGATTAAAAAAATATACATATTGGATTTAATCATACATACTGTATGAATTAGCGCATTTAAGCTTTTTGCCCTAGTGTGATGATTGTTTATATGTCAAATTTCAGTGCTATGTTCTTGACCCATTTGCTTAGTTATGTTTCATTCCATCCTGATTTACTCTTCACAGTTTATGGAATCTAGGTTTTATTTATTAGGTGCATATGTTCAACGCCAAACTCAGACATGGACGAAGCAGTACAGAGCTAGCGAGACTCATCAAATCCCTTCTATGGAGCGGCTTATTGAATGGCTTCCACAGCATCTACCTGCAGACCAGAAAACCACAGTGGTACATGGAGACTTTAGGTAATAATTGGAAAGACTGGGGATTAATCTTACATATTCCTACTGTGTATGTCTTTACAAAGCATGACACTGTTTTTTAGAAACTGTTAAAGCAAAACTCAAAATTGCTAAAATTTAGTTTTTGATTTCTTTTAACAATTAATTCATCCACAGTGTCTGCAACTACAGAGGTCAGTGAGGACTTGTTATAGAGCTTATTTACTGCTTGTTACATATTTTAATGTCCATAGCCCAGTCATGGATTTACTTTAAAGCTCATCATTGTTTTAAAGTTGATTGACTGCTTGTTAAGAATATGCAAATATATAAATATCTATAGCCTAGCCGCAGTCCAATTTAAGGACATTGTAAATATTCCTGCCCACACTTTGTGTTTTTCACCTAAATAAGATGTGCATTGATCGTGTATTTTCACAGTTTCATTTGCTGCACTGAATGTACAGCCTAAGTTCCTGTTTGTGTTCCAATACAGTGCCTTGAAAAAAGTATTCACACCTCTTTAAATTTTCCACATTTTGTCATATGTTACAACCAAAAAGGTAAATGTATTTTTTGGGGATTTTATGTGACAGACCAACACAAAGTGGCAGATAATTGTGAAGTGGAAGGATAAATGGTTTTTCAAAATTTTTTTACAAATAAATATCTGAAAAGTGTGGCATGCATTTGTATTCAGCCTCCCTGAGTCAATACTTTGTAGTACTACGTTTCGGTGCAATTACAGCTGCAAGTCTTTTGGGGTATGTCTCTACCAGCTTTGCACATCTAGAGAGTTAAATTTTTGCCCGTTCTTCTTTGCAAAATCGCTCAAGCTCTGTCAGATTGGAGGGAGGTTTTCTTCTAAGATTGCCCTGCATTTGGCTCTATCCATCTTCCCATCAACTCTGACAAGCTTCCCTGTCCCTGCTGAAGAAAAGCATCCCCACAACATGTTGCTGCCACCACCATGTTTCACGGTGGGGATGGTGTGTTCAGAGTGATATGCAGTGTTAGTTTTCCGCCACACATAGCGTTTTGCTTTTAGGTAAAAATAATTACATTTTGGACTCATCTGACCAGAGCACCTTCTTCCAATGTTTTCTGTGTCCCCCACATGGCTTCTCGCATATTGCAAACGGGACTTCATGTGGCTTTCTTTCAACAATGGCTTTCTACTTGCCACTCTCCCATAAAGGCCAGTTTGTGGAGTGCTATGACTAATAGTTGTCCTGTGGACAGATTCTCCCACCTGAGCTGTGGATCTCTGCAGCTCCTCTAGAGTTACCATGGGCCTCTTGGCTGCTTCTCTGATTAATGCTCTCCTTGCCCATCCTGTCAGTTTAGGTGGATGGTCATGTCTTAGTAGGTTTGCAGTTGTGTCTTACTCTTTCCATTTTCAGATGATGGATTGAACAGTGCTTCGGGAGATGTTCAAAGCTTGGGATATTTTTTTGTAACCTAACCGTGCTTTAAATTTATCCACAACTTTATCCATGACCTGTCTAGTGTGTTCCTTGGCCTTCATGATGCTGTTTGTTCACTAATGTTCTCTAACAAACCTCTGAGGGCTTCACAGAACAGCTGTATACTTATACTGAGTTTAAACTACACACAGGTGGACTCTATTTACAAATTAGGAGACTTCTGAAGGCAATTGGTTCCACTAGATCAGAGTAAAGGGGGCTGACTAAAAATGCAGATATTTATTTGTAAAAAAATTTTTAAAACCATTTATCATTTTTCTTCCACTTTACAATTATGTGCCGCTTTATTTTGGTCTATCACATAAAATCCCAATAAAATACATTTACGTTTTTGGTTGTAACATGACAAAATGTGCAAAATTTCAAGGGGTATGAATACTTTTTCAAGGAACTGTATGAGGCTTGCCACATAGGGACAAGCAAGCTTAATTAATACATGAACATAGGGGAATCGATCAGCCATGACACTACAAACTGCAGCCATTTGTAAGCCTATGATTACAAGGTAAGGCAAAAAAAAAAACCAGCACAGGTAATATAACTACACTAATACCTAGTTAAAATAATGAAAACATTTAAAATTGTACAATGTCTTTAAGTGTAGTAGAGAAATGTAAGGTCTCCTGGCTGGGGTGTCTGGATCCCAAGGCTGTTTAAAGTTGTTGCCAGCTAAACCAGATATGTGTGTGTTTCTGTAGTTGGGAGACTCAGATAGTTCTTGTTGCAGCAGTGTGGCTTCCATATACTGTATAATTGCAAATTCATCAAACTAAAACCACTGTTCTTAGACCATATAGCGCAAACTGTTTTTTTTTCTTTCTGTCTAGCTTAAAAACAGTAAGGGAGGCTTTTTTTTGTACTGTCTGTGTGTATGTATGTATGTTTATATGTATGTATGTGTATACATATATACAGTATATACACATTATGTACATTAACGACCACTTTATTAGGTATACCTTGCTAGTGCCAAAAAAAATATCCCCCCACAACATTACGCCACCAGCCTGAACTGTTGATACAAGGTAGGATGGATCCATGCTTTCATGTTGTTTGAACCTACTATCTGAATGATATTTTTGAAATTCTCAGACAAGCCCATCTGGCACCAACAACCATGCCACATTCAAAGTCACTTAATCCCCTTTCTCCCCCATTCTGATGCTAAGTTTAAACTTCAGCAAGCTGTCTTCACCACCTCTAGATGCCTAAATGCATTGCTGCCATGTGATTGGCTGATTAGCAATTTGTGTTACCAAGCAATTGAACAGGCGTACCTAATAAAGAGGCCGGTGAGTGTATATAGTAGACCCAACATTGTTTTTTGTTCTGGACCATACAGTCAGTATTGTGAAGCAAATATATTACATATGTAATAGCTATAATATAATATAAAACAAACAAAATATTCTTATTCTCTAAATGGAGCATTGTTTAGAATATACTAAGACAGCTACTGTTTTAAATTAATTTCCATGAAAAAAAATTTTTCAAAGAGTCTATTTCTTGCTAGCTAATTTTCAAAGTGATCCGTGGTTGTTTAAATGGAAATGTATTAAATTTTGTATGTTTATTTTTTTAGGTTGGATAATATAATATTTCACCCAGAAAAAGTTGAAGTACTTGGCGTTTTGGATTGGGAATTGTCCACACTAGGAGATCCTTTGTCAGATGTAGCATATAATTGTATGGTTTATTATCTTCCACCCAATCTCCCTGTTCAGAAAGGTATGGAATGGTTTCTTATGCAGAGTTTGAATGTAGTTGTTCAAAGACTGGCATGTTTATGTGGATTTCAAGCAAAGCAGGTAATCTATTCCCACATAGACGTACTGTAGGTGTCATGGTCATTTCTATGGATGCTTTAATTTGCTGTATAGTTCAGGAAGTCTTCAGCCGAGCAGAAGAAACCTTTGTAAACATGATGTGCCTGGATATGGGCAGTTTAAAGCCCCATACACACGATGAGAATATTGGATGAATGAACGCCCGTTTTTTTTTTGGTTTTTTTTGCATGCTAGTCTCATATTGAAAGTGAAGAGGTTACTAAAGTTACGAAAATTCTTGTAAGACAGAAAATTTTGGAAGAAAAATTTTTGTGCTTGTCCCTTCATATATTTTCAGATGAAAGCTGTGTACTAATGATCAGATTATTGTATGATCTCTTCAAAATTATTTTTTTTGTACCATTTTCTGATCGTGTGTACTAGGCTTAAGGTGGGCCTTAAAGTGGTTGTAGAGGCAGAAGGTTTTTTACATTTATGCATGAAAGTTAAAAATCTTCAGAGTGCAGTTTCCTCCGCAGCCCCCGCTCCTTATACTCACCTGAGCCCAATCCCATCCAGTGAAGTGCATGAGTGCCGAGGCTCTCTCACATGTTATTGGCTTAGAGACAGCAGCTAGGGCCACTGGCTCCTACTGCTGTCAATAGCCAGTGAGAAGGGAGTAGGGGGTGGGGCCGAGCTGTGGTCTGTGTCTTATAGACACACAGAGGCAGCCCGGGAGCGAGCACGCATGAGTGCCCTAGAGCAAGCGGCTTGCTGTGGGGGCACTTGGTGGGGGGGGGGGAGCCAGAAGCTCTGACGGGGGGACCCAAGACGAGGAGGATTGGGGCTACTGTAAAATATTACACAGAGCAGGTAAGTATGACATGTTTGTTATTAAAAAAAAAAAAATACAAAATTAAATATTGTAATAATTTTAACCAACAATGACTATTTTTAATCCTTTTGCTGCTAACATTAGTAAAAAGATAGGAAAGTATATCATATTTACTCGTTTTACTTCCTGGTTTCCAGGTCTAGGCAAATGATGTCATACATCCCAGGAGTCTTCAGGAGGGAAGAAAGGTTTTCTCAGCAAAGCACACCCTCCTGCCTGCATCTAAGGGCAGATTGATTCCAGGAAGTAAATGCTGCATAAATCACCTGCCCTTACTCATGATGGCCACAGCCAGAAATGCTAGGGGGTGTTCTTCAAAGTGATCTCTTAGCAAAATAATACATAGAAAACATGGTTGGATGTGTGAGCTGGCTTTGAATATTAAAAATTAATTACATAGTATTTTTGGTTTGTGGTGCTCAGATGCAGTGTAGTTCTGCTTTAACATTATTTCAGGAAATGATTTGAGTTTGTTCACTGCAGCAGCAATAAACACCTACTCTTTACATATGTAGCAAAATACCTTAGAAACTGGGTCACATAAACAGAAAATAACGAAGTGAGTCCATGTTCTGAGTTGCTTATATTTTTATTGCCATGTTTTAAATGCTTTTTTTATTTTAATGATCCTGTTTCATGTACGGCTGTTATGCTGGTGTGACCTTTACCAGCTCTTTGTAATCTAGACAGTGTCATTGGAATCCTAGCTGACAGACTGGAAAATTCACCTGTACTGACAGAGCTGTCCATTTACAGGAAAATTCACCTGTACTGACAGAGCTGTCCCTAGGCGTCCACTGCAATAAGCAGAGCAGTAAAGCTAATAAATGTCTGTTGTTAATGTGTAATAATATTATTATTATTATTATACAGTATTCATATAGCGCCAAAGGGTTGGCTCGGTGCTGTACATATATCGAGTCTAAGAACATGGGTAATCAATACACTACGAGGGTTGCTGTACAATAGCGAGGGGGACAGAACATGAGACAATACAGTAACAATACACTACACGAGGGGTTCGAGGGCCCTGCTCTTTCGAGCTTACAATCTAGGAGATAATACTTATAAAGTGCAGTGCTTAATAAAGTGACAAATAATTGGTGAAAAAAACTGTGAAAAATATATATACAAAACAATGGCCATCAAAAAATATTCAGATAGAGCAAAGTCCCCAGAGGCCGTGATGAAATAAAGGAAATCCAAGGATAGCTGTTGTGTCACTAACCACTCATATGAAAGGCTTACCAGAAAAGCATGACCCCCTGTTAAGAGTGGTCAATAACGTTTTGTTGAAAACAACCCAGAAAGCTGGACAACCGGATCCTCCTCCAGATCACCAAGAGAGAAAAATAAAGATCCTCCAAGCAATGGACCCTAATTAGGGTAACTACACCACTCTGGATGGGATTCAGACTCGTGGTAGGAAGAGTGCTCCACATAGTGTAAAACCATTAAAACAACATTTATTTGAAATATGGTTGCACTCACATAAAAGCGGACATCACTGAGCATAAATAGGAAAAATTTCAAACTTTTCCAGTTTCCACAATGGCCGCCGACCAGTCACGCATGTGTGGTAGCGAAGCCACGCACAACACGCTAGCATGCATGCTCGACCGGCTGTCAGCGTGCGCCCGGTGCTGTTCATGATTGCTGTGTCCTACGGACACAGCTGCTCACATGACAAGGTAAAAGGCCAATCTCAGCGGCCATTTTACCACGTGATCAGCTGTATCCAATGACACAGCAGATCACAAAGTAAATAGAGTTATATTTCCCCACAGCGTGAGGAAAATACCGCCGATGACCAACAAGTGTCACAGAGGACATCTGCACTAATCATCAGGGCACTGATGATCAGTGCCGCTCAGCAGTTGTGCCCATCAGTGCTGCATATCAGTGCAGCATCATCAGTGCCTCCTCATCAATGCTCATCAGTGCTGCATATTCGTGCCATCTCATTAGTGCTGCCTATCAGTGCTGCCCCATCAATGCACATCAGTGAAGGAGAAAAATTACCTGTTTGCAAAATGTTATAATAGAAACAAAGAAAAACTTTTTTTTTTCTGATTTTTTGCTTTTTTTTTTGTTTACAGGCAAAAAATAAAAACTCCAGCGGCGATTAAATACCACCAAAAGAAAACTGTATTTGTGTGAAAAAAATGATAATAATGTTATATGGGTAGTGTTGCATGACTGCGCAATTGTCATTCAAAGTGTGACAGCACTGAAAGTTGAAAATTGGCCTGGGCAGGAAGGGGGTAAAAGTGCCTGCTAGGCAAGTGGTTAAATTGATGTGGAAGTATATGAAAATGTATATATGTTTACATTTTTTAGGACTACAAAATTATAACTTGTCAGAATTGGGCATTCCCACTGCAGAGGAATACTTTGAGCAGTACTGTGAGAATATGGCCGTTCCGAAGGTGGAGAACTGGAATTTCTATATGGCATTTTCTTTTTTCAGAATAGCAGCCATCTTGCAAGGTGTATACAAGCGCTCCTTGGCAGGTACGGCAGACTGACTCTTTCTGCTTTGTTTTGTTTCTTTTGTTTCATTTGCAAATTCTTTAAATATGTAAAGAACTCCAGGAAAATAATTACTTTTAAAATTTGTTGGCACACAAGGAACTAAGTGTATAGAAATATATTCCATTGCCTGTAGCTCTCTCTCTCTCTTTTTCTTTTTCTACAGTTTACGATTTTACTGATATCACTATACTTCTGGCTCTCTGACACCCCATACATGTGTCTCACACAGCAGCTGTAGCATTGTTTGCACTCCTCCTCTCACCTTGCCAGATCACAGAACACTTTGCATCCTGTAATTCTGTACACAAAAGCCAAAGCTTTCTGTGAATGAGCTGGAGAGATGAGGGGCAGGCAGAGCTGCTGCTGTGTAGGAGAGTCATATGTCTCCTCTTGGCACGCAGGAGTACAGTGAAATCTATACTATCAGTGTTTAGTGAACAAGTAAACTTTAAACAAAAGAGAGAGAGCCAGGAGGTGGAATACACCTCCTTGGACTTAACCAGCACATTTAAATGTGTGAACCGCAGGGAAAAAGCACAATGCGATTTCCCTGCAGCTGCATTTTGAAAAAGGTGCAAGCACCTTTTTTTATGCAGGAAACGTAGGCACGGCAGCCCATTCAGGTCTTAAAACCAACACAGATGTGAACCTAGGCTTAAACTTTAGTCAACATCCTAAGATTTCATTAGTCAACAGGTGCATTATTCTCTGCGCTCAAACATACAGTATAAACAGACTCTTAGGGGGTCTAGTTATAAAACATTTGTTGGACAAATGTCACAAATTTCTGTACATGCTGCACAAATTCTGATCGTAATTTCTCTAATACAGTGGATATAAAAAGTCTACACATCCCTGTTAAAATGTCAGGTTTCTGTGATGTAAAGAAAATGAGACAAAGATAAATCTTTTCACAACTTTTTTCACTATTAATGTAACCTATAAACTGTGAACAACTCAGTTGAACAACAAACTGAAATCTTTTAGGTGGAGGGAAGTAAACATAAAAAAATAAAATAATATGGTTGCATAAGTGTGCACACCCTTAAACTAATACTTTGTTGAAGCACCTTTTGATTTGGTTCCAGCACTCAGTCTTTTTGGGTTGCAGATTGCAATGGCATCTCCTGTGCACAGCCCTCTTCAGATCACCCCACAGATTTTAGATCGGATTCAGGTCTGGGCTCTGGCTGGGCCATTCCAAAACTTTCATCTTCTTCTGGTGAAGCCATTCCTTTGTTGATTGGATGTATGCTTTGGGTTGTTGTCATGCTGAAAGATGAAGTTCCTCTTCATGTTCAGCTTTCTAGCAGAAACCTGAAGGTCTTGTGCCAGTATTGACTGGTATTTGGAACCATTCATAATTCCCTCTACCTTGACTAAGGCTCCAGTTCCAGCTGAAGAAAAACAGCCCCAAAGCATGATGCTGCCACCACCATGCTTCACTGTGGGTATGGTGTTCTTTTGCTGATGTTCAGTGCTGTCTTCGCGCTAAACATATATCTTTTTGACATATGGCCAAAAGATTCAACCTTGGTTACATCAGACCATAACATGCTTTTGGAAGACTTCAAATGTGTTTTTGCCAAATGTAGCTGGTTGGATGTTTTTCTTCGTAAGAAAAGGCTTCCATCTTGCCACTCTACCGCATAGCCCAGACATATGAAGAATACAGGACATTGTTGTCACATGTACCACACAGCCAGTACTTGCCAGATATTCCTGCAGCTTCTTTAATGTTGCTGTAGCCTCTTGGCAGCCTCCCAGACTAGTTTTCTTCTCGTCTTTTCATCAATTTTGTAGGGACGTCCAGTTCATGGTAATGTCACTTTTGTGCCATATTTTCTCCACTTGATGATGACTGTCTTCACTGTGTTCCATGGTATATCTAATGCCTTGGAAATTCTTTTGTACCCTTCTCCTGACTGATACCTTTTAACAGTGAGATCCCTCTGATGCTTTGGAAGCTGTCTGCGGACCATGGCTTTTGCTGTAGGATGCGACTAAGAAAAATGTCAGGAAAGACCTACTACTAGAATCAGCTGAACTTTGATTTTTTGTGGCTTAATTTAATCTAGAGGCACTTTAAATGAGAGGGTGTGCACACTTCTGTGTTTTTACTGACTCCCCCCCTAAAAGATTTCAGTTTGTTTTTAACATGATTTTGAATGTGATTGCTTATTTATTCTGAACACATCTACATCCCCAGTTATAAGAGGGTGTGCACACTTCTGCAACCACATTATCTTTTAGTTTTTTACCTCTGTGTTTACTTATGACCCCCCCTAAAAGATTTCAGTTTGTTTTTTTAAAATACCCCTTAATGGAGATATTGTACAGTGGTGGGCAACCTTTTTTTTTTCAATAGGTCACAATAAAGGTGGAAAAAGTTATGTAATTCAAATTAATTTATCATTTGTCTAATTTTTTTATCCCCCCATAGTAATTCACAGAAATCCCCCCTGTAATTCATCCCCCATATAGTAATTCATCCCCCAGGGTGTCATCCCCCCATAGACTTTTTATGTAATTCATCCCCCACTGTCATTTCTTCCCCCATAGTAATAATTCAAGTAAATCCCCCTATGATTGTCCCCCAATGCCATCATATAGTTCCCCCCCCCCATAAAATACAGTTTTCTAAAATCCCCCTATGTAAGAGAACTTATATATTGACTTATGACCACCAGCTGGCGCTAAGTGCGAGTTGATGTCCCCGAGAGGAGGGAGGGGAGCGGGCGGCCGTCCAAGGTGTTTTTATAAATATACCCCTTAATGGAATAATTGATATGATATGATATATGATATGGAGACAATATTGTTTAACATTTTTAGGGAACCCAAATAGCACTGTGCACGTTGGTGGATTTTGTTGGAATTTTCTTTTAGATAATTAGCACAGTAGCTAAGTATTATGAAAAGATGGTAATTATTTTTTCCCCAAATATATTTATTGGAAAAGGGAATTGTCACAGCAGGCGCCCGGCGCACAGAGCCGCATTTAAGCTTGTAAAGAGCCGCATGTGGCTCGCGAGCCGCGGCTTGCCGACCACTGATATATGATATGGAGACAATATTGTTTAACATTTTTAGGGAACCCAAATAGCACTGTGCACGTTGGTGGATTTTGTTGGAATTTTCTTTTAAATAATTAGCACAGTAGCTAAGTATTATGAAAAGATGTAATGTAATTATTTTTTCCCCATAATATATTTATTGGAAAAAATTGCAATATCACATAGGCGACATAACCAATAAAAAGGGAACAATATCATCACCCTACACCGGGGGTCAGCAACCAGTAAATCTTGGCCAGGTGACTGGTAGATCACAGTCAGGGCTCGTTGATCCGCCATCCCAGTGCATCAAACACAGTGCAAAGCAGAGGGACTATTTATAAAGTTGGAGCTGTAGTAGGGAGCAATAGCCGCATAAGCCGATGTCTCCTCTGTAGTGCTGGCTCCTACGCCCTGTTATAGTTGGTGGGTGTAGCACCTGCCAAGCATGACCCATGCAAGTGAATGAGGCCCCTCTGCAAGTGCCCTGCAACCTTGTGCAGTACAGCAAACAAGGGGTTAAATAGACAACATTGTGTTGCTTTCTATTCACCTACTTTAACCCCTTGAAGCCAGCAGAAGCATGTAGTTGCTGGACGCTTGCAGAGTGCCCCATTTACTTGAATGGGTCTCGACTGACAGGCTGTAGCACCCACCAAAAGCAACAGGGAGTGTAATTCCTGCTAAGTCATGTTTACACCTTTGGCTGCTGCCTCAGCAGCTAAAGGAAGCAAGGATTGTGGGCGGTAAAACCATGAGTCAACCGCAGGGTTTTTTTACCCCCTCCCAACTTTACATGAGAATGAGTGCCATTGCTAGATGCAACTAAGGGTTCATTTGCAAGTGTAGATCGATTGCTGCTGCTGCTGCTGCTCTGAAAAGCAGTCCAAGTGTGTTTGACAGGTGGGGAGGAGGCTATGTTGACTCTTCACCACCTGATTTAAACCCATGATTGCCGTGCAATGCATGCGACTGTGACACGGTCAATTAGTGGTTTCAATCAGGTGTGAGGAGGCGACACTGTGCCCGATGATCTTTGACTTCTCCCATGTTGTTCAGGTAGATCTCCACCTCTTTAACCTCCCTGGCGGTATGATTATGTCAGGAATTTTGTACCAAAAGCGGTACCATTTTTTTGCATGGAAATTTGGTGTTATGTATTGTAGGCCTGCAATTATTAGTAATTACTTACTTAATAAATAATCAAAAAAAATAATAATATAATAATAATAAATTTAATTCAATAATATAATCAAACCAAAAACACTGAAATTTGAAATATAGCGCCAAGTTCGCACATCACTGAGCAAAGTCGCAAAATCGTTTTCAGTGTCTGATGATGAATTTCCCCCATGAATCATTATCACTCAATTCTGCAAGTAGTTCTGATTTACTATCGCTGTTCTCTAGCCGGTCTAAAACCGATTTTGACCTAAAGGGACGCTTTTTGGACGCCGTGGACTCTTCTAAGTTTCCAGGCAGAAAGAACAGTCAAAATACAGGCAGGGCACAGGATAAAGCAGTAGGGACAAAATGTATGTGAAATGCTTTGATACAGGAATGTTTTGCTATGAAATAATCGTTTTAAAAAAAGTAATTTTTTTTTCATTTTCAAATTTGCCGCCGGTTCCGGTGCCCGTACATCCCGACGTCACAGGGACCGGAACACGGAAGCCAGATGCCGGCATCGGCCGGAGGAGATGGCCGGGGACGCTGCAGGGGACGCATCGCAGGAGCGAAGGACAAGGTAAGCGCTGTAGGGAATCCCTGTGCAACGCCGCATGGTAAGCCCGAGTGTAGCTCGGGGTTACCGCTTTTGGTACTGAAACTTTACCCCGAGCTACACTCTGGAATACCACCAGGGAGGTTAAGGTTGCCTATCCCTGCCCTACACAAAATGAGCCCTTGCGGGTCAAACCAGGTAATTCCAGATACATGTGATATAGAAGGGGGAAAACAGCCATGCAGTTTAATTTATTTTAATTTAACCCTGGTTCACACTGATACGGTGCGGAATTCGCAGCGTTTTTAGTGTGAATTCCACACCTCATCAAAATCGAAACTCGTTCATGCGAATCGCTGCCGGTGTGTATGTTAAGTTAACAACATCCAAAAATCGGCCCGCAAAACATGGTGCAATGTGCAGAATCAGATCGTATAGGTGTGAATACCCATGCGATCCGATTCTAGCGCGGACTCAAAAAAGGGTCCTGCACCTTTTTGGTGTGGGTGCGGTACAAAATGTATGGCTCCAATCGCACTGCATACAAATCACATGTGATTTGCACAGGAATGCAGTGCAGTTCCTGTGCGAATCACATGTGATAAACCGCACATATGTGAACCCAGGCTAAATCATGTCATCTTCACATTTTGACTAAATCATTAAGCTCTGGTTCACACCTGGCGACTTGTCATGCAGTTTTACAGTTTCAAATCGCATGACAAGTCGCACCCTATTGTCTGCAATGGAACCATTCAAAATTGGTTGAACCGATTTTTAAAGTAATTCCTGCACTACTTTTTGTGATTTCAGGTGCGACTTGCATAGACATCTGTGCGTGAAGTCACACTGACATGTGACTTTGAAACCATGCGACTTCAAGGGAAATTGCACAATTTCAAAATCGGATCCAGTGTGAACCAGGGCTAGAAGAGCTTTGTCTAATCTTGTGTAAACACTCTCAGGCTGTTGGCTATACAAGCACAGCATAACCAACCTTTGGTATTTGTGATGGCCTCACATCCCTAAGCACAAATGTATACAACTTCTTTGGAAGTAGATGGGAGGGGCACTGTGGACACCTCCAACTCTTGGCTTTAAAGGAGAAAATATACGGTATATGATTAGGTTTAAATTGATACATAGATCGATCTACCCAACCACTCTCTGAGGTCAATCAGCAATTTAAAGCAGAATGAATGAAAATTCAAACTTCGTTTTTCAGGCCACTCCCTCCCAAATGAAAAAAAAATGCACAGTTAAATGAAATAAAGAAATAGGAAAAAGGTAAAAGTTACTTAACTTATAACTCAAGTTCCAGAAGTTTTATCTAGGTGAGGGTGACGCCTCTCAGTTTTTACTGTGGGATCCCTAAAAAGCAGATCATCTTAGATCTCTCAAGAAAACACTCTTGTCCAGCGCTGGAAAATCTTCTAGCGACAGCTGGAATCCTCAGTTTTCCTCGGATTCCACAGTGATCCTGCAGTCACACTTACTTTGGGAACCAAGGTGTAAGGTAAGTTTTTAATGTGCATTTTTTTATTCAAGGAGGAGCTGAAAAGTAATATCTTTTCATACAATGATTGGCTCCTTGTACTCAATACACTGCAAGAGACTGAAAGCAAGTCAAATGCAGGTATTTACTTGAATTTTTTTAAATTTGCTTGAATTTATGAGAAGATTGTAAATTGCCATAAGAAAATACATAGTTAAACACATTTTAAAATTTGTTTTCAGGGACATTCTGAAACTGGAACATTTAAAAAAACACTTTATTCATCAGCTGATATAATATTTGTGTAATAGGATCTTAGAAGTCTGTTCAGATATACAGTGAGCAACATGATTTGTATGTTTTGTTATCATTCAAATTTTAGCAGCTTTATTAGAAACAGATCAATAACTGCAAAAAAAAAAAAATTGATTTTGCCAGAAATCTTGTGAGCCAATAACTTTCTGTGCTCTCTGTTTGTGCAGTAGGGGGGGTTGTAGAGATGAAGAGGGTGGTAAAGAGATGAGGGGCAGTCTATGTCCTTTGCAATCCATCATAAGCAGGAAGGGCTGACAACACATGCTTTGTAATTCAGAGCAAAAAATACACTATGTTGTCATGTCAAAGAGAAGGTAGTAGCTCACTATATGTTTGGCACATCAAGTTATTTTTTGTACTTTCAGTGTTCTTAACCTCCTCCTGCCCACCATATAATGTAATGACAGGCGCAAGGCGGTTCTCTCGTTCTGGGAAGACATCATATGATGTCCTCCTCCCACTCTAACCATGCGTGCGGGGCTCTGGAAGCGTGCAGCGCAGCGATCGGTGGTGCGCTGTGTCCCTCGGACACAGCGGATCAATGGAAAGAGCCAAAGATGTCGGCTCAGTCATGTAATCAGCTGTGTCCAATCACAGCTGATCGCATGTAAATAGGGAAATGCCGGTTATCGGCATTTCTCTCCTCACGAGCTGTCACGCTGACAGCTCGAGAGGAGAGGAGAGCCGGTAATCGGCATCCCTCAGAGGCAACATGTACACTGATCATCAGGGCACTAATGATCAGTGTAGCCCCAGCAGCGCCACCTGTCTATGCCCATAAATGCCACCTGCCAGTGCCCATCAGTGCCACATCAATGCTACATATCGGTGCCTACCAGTGCACATCAATGCCACATATCAGTGCCCATCTGAGCTGCCTTTCAGTGCCACCCTTCAGTGCCAGTCAGTGCTGCCAATCAGTGCCAGTCAGTGCCGCCTATCAGTGTGCATCAGTGCCCGTCAGTGCTGCCTATCAGTGCCACCTAACAGTGCCAGTCAGTGCCGCCTATCAGTGCCATATATGAGTGCTGCCTTTTATTGCCCATCAGTGATGCCTGTCAATGCCCATCAGTGCCACCTACTAGTGCCTCCTCATCATTGCCCATCAGTGCAGCCTCATTAGCGCACATCAGTGAAGGAGAAAAATCACTTATTTACAACATATTATAACAAAAACTAAGAAAATTTTTTATTTTTTTTTTTCAAAATTTTTAGTTGTTTTTGGTTTGTTTAGCAGAAGAGGTGATTAAATATCACCAAAAGAAAGCTCTGTCTCAAAAAAATGATAAAAATGTCATATGGGTACAGTGTTTCATGACCGCACAATTGTCATTCTAAGTGCGACAGCGCTGAAAGCTGAAAACTGGCCTGGGCAGGAAGGGGGTATAAGTGCCCTGTAGGCAAGTGGTTAAAGAGATAAAACATGGGGAAATGTGAATATTGTCCACCAATGTACTGCCTTGAGCCTTGACATGTGCTTTAAGCAAAAAAGAAAACGAGGAGACATATTAATTTATTTGTTCACATGGCCCATGAAAAGCGATGCAAGGGTTATTCTGGTGGTTCACAAGATTTTTAAAGCTTGCAAAATTGAACAGTCTAATGAACTCTGTTTCAATATCTTGTAGGACAGGCTAGTTCTGCAAATGCAGCAGCTACTGGAAAGTTAACAGAATTCATGGCGAACATAGCATGGGATTTTGCTACAAAAGAAGGGTTTCGAATTTTCAAATCTCCCTCTGGATCCACGTCTAGAAATCCAACAACAAGATCTTACACTACTTGGAGTCTGCTATCAAGCCATAGATTTTCAGAGAAGAGAACATCTACATCCTCCAGAGACTCTCATCAATCTGCACAGATAAGTCACCTGGTCATCTCCCCTGATGGCCTTTCTAGCAAGGCCAAAGACCTGTACAGTAAATTAAAAGAGTTTATTGAAGTTCATATTTATCCTGCTGAACAAGAATTAAGAAATTACCAGTTTTCGGAGAAAAGATGGACTCCCCATCCTTTAACTGAAGAACTTAAGGTGAATAAAATGGATTAACGTGAAATTTGGAAGTATCATGGCATGCACAATAGAGGTAGCCCTATATGTAAAAGTAAAGCATTCCTTCCCCATTTCAATAGATGTCACTGTTCTGTCATATGACTGGTGACAAACAGTGGTTTCATGTGCATAGATGGAATAAGGAAGAATCTTTTGGCTCAATGTTCCTATGGAAGTCTCTATGTTTTCCTAGAAGTCATGTACCTAGTTCAGTGAAAGTTCATAGCAGTTAAAGCTGTATTAAACCCAAAACCAAAAATATTGCAGCTTACCATTCATTAGATGTGGTGACTACATTAGTTTTCTCTTTTTAGGCTTTTTTCCCTCTGTTTACACCTGGTGATCTGGCCAGTAGCATACATATTGTATTAGAGTGCCTATACTCAGGATGAAACAGCACAGACAGCAACATTGCCAGTTTGGATAACAGGGGTAGTGTTAAATATACTAGCAGATTTATATACAATAGCAGATTGAAGCCAAAAAAAAACGAAAACCAATGCAGGCATCACTAAGAATTGGTAACCTGCGAAATAATAAATGTTTGCTTTTGGGTTTAATACTGCTTCATTAATTTTGAGCTGAACTAAGTTTCATGTTGTTGGTGTTCCTTCTTGTCCATTTAAGGCAGAAGTGTAGGCAGACATAAACTGTCCTTTTTTTAACCTGTTAATTATTTATTAAAAACTCTAAAATCTATATTCAAATAGTATCTTTATTTCCTGCATAGGAAGAGTCATACTGGAAGAGGAAGGGCCAAACCGTTAGGCTAATCAGGGTTTACTGAATTGCACAGTGCACAGGCAGCCTGCTGATAGGAAGGGAGAGCATAGGGCTGATCTTAGCAGTATGTTGCGGCTCCTTCACTATCCAATCACAATCTAGGACAGTCCTTGATCAAGTTGTTTTGCTTTAACCAGGGGTGGACTGACAACTCATGGCGCCCCTGGGCAATAGGGGATCATGGGGCCCCTGTGTCCTCGTCCTCACTCAAACTACACCCAAAAAAGCCTATGAAAGGTACCAGGGGCATCTCATGGGGCCCCCTACTGACCCCAGGCCCTCGGGCAGTACCCGAGTGCCTGAAAGGTCAGTCTGCTCCTGGCTTTAACTGTAGGAGAGAAAAGGAAGGTCAGACTAGGTGTGTGGTCTGACATGGATGTCTGGCATAAAAGATTTGCTAAACAGAATTGTGAATGTTTTGATGGGTAAGATGGCTTACAGTTATGCATTTCAACCATGAAGTTAGCGGTCTATACTTCCACTTAGATGCAGGGGACCCAGCAGGGGTTGCTAGTAGACCGTGATGTTGCTTTCCTTCCACTAGATGGCCTCCCAGTTCCTTCCAGATATGAGGGCTGAATGGATAAATATAGGTATCTCCCCTCTTGTAGTTTGGGGGGGTCTGTCTCCTATTTCCTCTTTCCTCCCCTTTGCTCCTCCGATTTAGGCCATGAAAAAAGAAGAAAAATCCCCACATGGTGCTTATATCCTTTAAAAAGGTTTTAATGTGTCTCCTGACAAATACAAACTCACATTTCCAAAGATCAATACAGAGCGTTTTTTTTTTAAAATTGTGTGCCCGCGCACAAAGACAGTACTCGCCGTTCCTCTGGTAGTGGCGTCGTGACGTCAGAGCCCCTCCCCTACGCGTTACGCCACAGGGTCACGTGGCTTCCTCAGGGGGATGTAATACGACGCCATGACGCTTCTGCCCTTATATAGGCCATTCCAGCGCCATTTTCCCGAAGTCCGCACGGAGGAGGCCATCTCTATGGGGCCAGATAATTGTTAATAATCCTGCGATGTGTACATATCTAGGACACATTGCTTATATTATGTCATCAAAATTAACACCCTCTTACTCTGACTTAATGTCACTAGTACTGTAATCGGGGGCCGGGCACCATCAAATACAATAATTATATAAACAAAAAACCTTTAATTGAACATATTAATAATCATGGCACTTGTCACCATTTAAATCTAAAAAAAAAAAAAACCTTTTAATCAATGCTTTTAAAATAATATTAATGCAAGAAGGAACTAATTTAATTTATTACAAGGGGAGAAATAATAATGTAAATGATTATGTGTGAATGTTTTTATTAAAAAATATAAAAATATAAAATTAAAATTGACAATGAAAATAAAATAAAAATAAAATAAAATAAAAATAAATATAAAAATAAAAATAAAATTAAAATAAAAATATAAAAATAAAAATGATGATAAAAATGGAAATGAAAATAAAAATAAATGTAAAAGTAAAAATAGAAATAAAAATAAAAATAAATGAATAAAAAAAGGAAATAAATATAATAATAAATATAAATATTGAATATTAAATAATATAAATACCAATAATAATACCGAAAAATGATATGAAATTATTTTACTTTGTAATAATGATTTAAAAATATTATTTAAAATTATATGTTAATTTGATCCCCTTACTATTTGATCATGCAATCCTATCACCATTCATGAATGGATGTTATACTATATTTTAGTTTTTATTGTATTTCATTCTACATATGGAAAATATATATGATGTCAAAAATGTTTATTTATTTAAAGGTGATAATCTAAGAAATCATTACCATCAAGTGCACCACTCTTAAATGAATTGATGCCGCGATAACGTTGTGTCTACATGTGCATGCCCCCACCCGCACAAAAATGGGTATGTGCGTGGGCGCACACGAGCACACAACCGTCCCGGCATACTGTAAATATTGTATGTCTATCTAAGTCTCCTGAAGTGATGTACTCTTCATTAATAATTACTGATGAAACAGGATAAGTCAAATTCCTTATTCAGGCCTTTTGGATCCAAACAATCCATTTCATATATCCATTTTGACTCCTTCTTACTAATCTCTCTAATTATGTTGTCCCCTCTCCAATGCTTAATGTGCCTTTCTATTCCCCAGAATTGTAAATGGGAAGCATCTGAGTTGTGAAATCGGCGGAAGTGTTGTGATACATGATGGTACTTGTAACCTCTATTTATATTATATACATGCTCTTTAATCCTTTCTTTCAAAGCTCATAATATAAGCAATGTGTCCTAGATATGTACACATCGCAGGATTATTAACAATTATCTGGCCCCATAGAGATGGCCGCCTCCGTGCGGACTTCGGGAAAATGGCGCTGGAATGGCCTATATAAGGGCAGAAGCGTCATGGCGTCGTATTACATCCCCCTGAGGAAGCCACGTGACCCTGTGGCGTAACGCGTAGGGGAGGGGCTCTGACGTCACGACGCCACTACCAGAGGAACGGCGAGTACTGTCTTTGTGCGCGGGCACACAATTTTAAAAAAACGCTCTGTATTGATCTTTGGAAATGTGAGTTTGTATTTGTCAGGAGACACATTAAAACCTTTTTAAAGGATATAAGCACCATGTGGGGATTTTTTTTCTTTTTCATGGCCTAAATCGGAGGAGCAAAGGGGAGGAAGAGGAAATAGGAGACAGACCCCAAACTACAAGAGGGGAGATACCTATATTTATCCATTCAGCCCTCATATCTGGAAGGAACTGGGAGGCCATCTAGTGGAAGGAAAGCAACATCACGGTCTACTGTAACAGCAATAGACTTTCCATATATCTGCATAGATTGGGACGTTTATATCTCAGCTTAGATAAGGATTAGGAGTACACAGTCCTAATCACCGTCTCAGGTGGCACAAGTGGAGTGATGATAATACATTATTTGCACGTTTTTTTACTATTATTTATTTTTCCACATTTAATTGAGTATTGCACTTTATTATATATATATTTTTTACTGTCTTGGGCAATATTTGCATTTTTTGCACATGCAACAATTCTTTGCACATATTTATTATTGATCAAAGAGGTTTCTCTTTGTTTACTTGATTTGTGGCACATTATATTATATATTTTTTTACATTTTTACACACATAATTTTTAGTTATTTATAATTATATTAATTATAGCACTGGGTATGTTTTAATTTTATTCACATTATATTATTATGAGATTACATTTATTTATATTTATTTAATTTATTTTTAATTATACATTATAATATATTATATTATATATCACCAAATAATATTTTGAGGAGCGCAACACATATAATATTTTATTTTTCTATTTTTACACAGTATTTTGAGTATGTGTTTCATGTGTTGATGCACCACTATATTTAAAATAGTTAATTAATTGTAAGCACTTTTTTGACACCATAGTAGCTCACAAGTATACACCCTTATAAAAAGGGGTTGCTAGTGATTAGCTATGAGCAGAAGGCACATTGAAAGCATTGATTATTTGCAAATGATTGATGCAGACTGTCTGCGTCTAGGGTTGTTGGGACCCCCAATGGCATCTAATTGCTAACGGCCACATTTAAAAGTGTGAATGAGGCCTTAAGGGGCTAAGATTGATATGTTCTGAGTTAAATAAAACTACCAATATATCTGCAATTTTTAATGTGGAGAGGCACCAAAACGCAGTGCTGTACTGGAAATTGTGTTCTTTTATTTACTTATTTTAAACAGTATTGTTTAAATGTTTTCTTTAACCGCTTCCTGACCGCCCTATAGCAGAACTACTGCTACAGGGTGGCAGAGCTGCGCAAAATCACTTATGTATACATGATTTCGCATTTCTAGGAGGTGCGCTCGCTGTCCTACTTGCGCCGCCATTGGTGGCTACAGCTGTTAATCACTGATTCCCGGCCGGAGATTCCCCGCCGGCACCCGGCAATTGCCAAGGAACACTGACAGGGGAGAGACCTGTATGTAAACAACACAGATCTCTTCCCCTGTCAGCTCCAGCATGCTGCTTTGTATTGCTCTGCACAGCAGAGCAATACAAAGCAGCATGCTTACATAGTAAAACAGCACATATTGTGAAACACACAGCGCACACAGTTAACCCTTTGATTGTCCCAAATGTTAACCCCTTCCTGCCCAGTGTCATTAGTAGTGTCAGTGCTTTTTATTAGCACTGATCTCTGTCTTAGTGTCACTGGGGATGTCAGTGGTAGTTAGTCAGTTCCCCACCAGTGTCAGAATGCCCGCCGCAGTCCCACTATAAGTCGCTGATCACCGCCATTACTAGTATATATATGAAAAAAAATTCCAGTATATATACCACCATCTTTAGACTCTACAACTTTCACATAAACCAATTCATTTACATGTATTGGGTTTTTTTTTAGCAAAGACATATAGCAGAATACATTTTGGCTTAAATGTATGATGACATTTGATTTTTTTTACTGTATATGTTTCATAGTAAAAAGTCAAAAACATTCGGGGTTTTTTCCCAAAATTGACGGTCTTTGTTTATAGCGCAAAAAATAAAAAATGCAGAGGCGATCAAATACCACTGAAAGAAAGCTCTATTTGTGGGAAGAAAAGTAAATAAATTTCATTTGAGTGCAGAGTTGCATGACCGCGCAATTGTCAGTAAAGTAACGCAGTGCCATATTGCAAAAAATTGCCTAGTTAGGAAGGGGGGGTAAATCTTCTGGAGGGCAAGTGGTTAATCTGACGGCAAAGTTGTATGTGTGTTTTCTAACAGCCTGTCAACATTTGTTTGATAGGAAAAAGCAAAATCACAGGGACTGTGGAATCTTTTCCTACCTTTAGAGAGCGACCCAGAGGGTAAATATGGTGCTAAGTTGACAAACGTGGAATATGCTCACCTCTGTGAATTAATGGGAACATCTCTGTATGCCCCTGAGGTATGTTGTATTGTATAGCAGTATATCACCAAAACATTCCTTCTAAGTGCACATATTAATATTTTATACCATCAGTGTTTTTTAATGTTGTTATGTTAGGTGCCCCTCCCTCATAGTACTTAAAGCCCCCCCCCCCCATAAAAAAACAAAACAAAAACTTTTTATTAATATAAATATGAAGATCATAAGACAGAGATACAAGATGGCAGCTTGATTTTCTAAATCAGGGATCTCCAAACGTTCTAAACAAAGGGCCGGTTTACTGACCTTCAAACTTTAGGAGGGCTGGAGTGGTCAATGGAAGTAGAAAATGTCCCAGTGTCAGTAGGATTAAAAAAAAATGACATTGTGCTTGTAGTCAGTACAAGGAGGAATAGTGTCCAGTCATTGATATTAGTGGGAGGAATACTGCCCCATCATTGGTATTAGTTGGAGGAATAGTGCCCCATCATTGGTATTAGTTGGAGGAATAGTGCCCCATCATTGGTGTCAGTGGGAGGAATAGTGCCCCATCATTGGTGTCAGTGGGAGGAATAGTGCCCCATCATTGGTGACAGTGGGAAGAATAGTGCCCCATCATTGGTGACAGTGGGAGGAATAGTGCCCCATCATTGGTGTCAGTGGGATGAATAGTGCCCCATTATTGGTGACAGTGGGATGAATAGAGCTCCATCATTGGTGTTAGTGGGAGGAATAGTGCCCCATCATTGGTATTAGTGGGAGGAATAGTGCCCCATCATTGGTGTCAGTGGGAGGAATAGTGCCCCATCATTGGTGACAGTGGGAGGAGGTGTGCAAAATCATTGGTGTCAGTGGGATGAATAGTGCCCCATCATTGGTGACAGTGGGAGGAATAGAGCTCCATCATTGGTGTCAGTGGGAGGAATAGTGCCCCATCATTGGTATCAGTGGGAGGAATAGTGCCCCATCATTGGTCACAGTAGGAGGAATAGAGTGCCATCATTGGTGTCAGTGGGGGGAATAGTGCCCAATCATTGGTATTAGTGGGAGGAATAGTGCACCATCATTGGTGTCAGTGGAAGGAATAGTCCCCCATCATTGGTGTCAGTGGGAGGAATAGTGTCCCATCATTGGTATTAGTTGGAGGAATGGTGCCCCATAGTTGGTGCCCAGTAGTGCTTATAGTGGTAGAAATAGTGCCTCCTTGTTGGTATCAGTGGGAGGAATAGTACACCGAGGGCAGATAGAGGCAAGCAAAGGGCCACAGTTTGGAGACTACTGTTCTAAATAACTCTATACCCACTGTGATCTGTTTTGCACAATTGTTATTCATATCTAACACTCTGTTAAACAAAAAAAAAAATACCCCTTCAATATGTCTGCTGTACCCCCTGGTATAAACATAATGTGGGTTAAGAAACTGGATAAAGTAGCACATTATTTGTGTTTTCAAGATATACAGTAGTTGACATCTCTTTTTTTCTTTCCTAATGGTATTTTAAATACATTTTGAAGCATTAAAATTGTGTTTTATTGGGTTTTTAGTGATTGTTTTATACTTTTATTTGTAGATCTTCAATTGTTCAGCCCCAGACACAGGAAATATCGAAGTGCTGGTTCGCTATGGGACAGAGGAACAGAAGGAAAGATGGTTGAAGCCACTATTGGAAGGAGAGATCAGGTCCTGTTTTGCTATGACTGAACCAAAGGTAAAACACTATTTAATCTAATATATTAGTATCTAAAACATGCTTTACATGCACTGAGAAAATGAAGGATTCACCGCACAGCTGGACTGTGGAAAACATTTTTCTTCGTTTGTTAAACAGGCAGTAGATATAGCTTGTATGAATTTCATGGTTACGTGTGCTTTTTAAAGAGCAGCATTCAGTGAGAAGTCTTTGAAAAAGCACACATATGTATAAAATGTGCAGGAGCTGTAATCTGTGCTATTTAATAAACTGAGAAAAATGTTTTCCAACTTCTGGTTGTGTGGTTGATTTCTCATAGTCTTGGTACTTCGCTTCCAGCGAGACAAACCAGACCAGCTGTAGTAGATGGACGGGTGTAAACAGGGGCGTATTTACCGCAAGGCAAACAAGGCGTTTGCCTAAGGCAGCATTTTTCAGGAAGTAACACATGTGGCAGCTGGTGACTGAGGATGGAGAGCAGGTGAGGCACAGCAGTGTGGGTTGCGGGCTGAAGGCTGGTGAAGGGTGTCCGACTCTTGTTTCCTGATCATTGTCCGAGATCAGCGCGGAAGGAAGATGTTGGGCTTTCCTGATCATGGCTCCCCGGGTGGCGGGCAGGGGGAGTGCTGGAATCTCTCTCTCTCCCCACCCCTACATGGAGGGTGGGTGTGATTTCACTCTTGCCTAGGGCGGCACAAAACCAAAATACACCACTGCATGTAAGGGCTAAGACCTAGTGGGGGGGCGGTTTGTTTTATATGTATCTGAATGCTTCACATTTCGTTTCTGGTTTTCTACACATTAAGAACATGCCCTGATTTAATATCTTAAAGGTGTCTTCCATTTTTAAAAATCGCTGCACCTCTCCCCTTTTAGACAATTGTGCTTGGTGCTTGTCAACTTTAGTATGTCTTGATATACTACAAAAATAACAGGCTGTTTTTTAGATTATCAAAACATGCAGGTACTTATCATTGTGTTTAATATTGCTTTTGCTGTGTTTTGTAAGTCTATCCATACTAGTACCAGAATAGCCTTTTTATATTCTGCCATAGGTTGCCTCTTCTGATGCCACAAACATTGAATCTTCAATAACAGAAGATGGGAACTCATACATTATTAATGGCCATAAATGGTGGACATCAGGTATGTATTATGCCTGTGTGTGCTGTGAATATACCTGTTTTGCTTTGCGTATATGTGAAATATTTGCAAGGGTGTTCTATCATAATTTCAGGGCTGATTCTTAATTCATATCTTCTGTACACTGATAATACTTTGGGTTCAATGTCCATTCTCTTCCTACCAGAAAAGCAAATGCTATCTGTAACCATTGACTATGAAGTCATTTTGCATCTCAGTGAAAGAACTTACTTCAAATCTTCCTTTTCCATAACCTAAACTATTGCGTTCGGCAGAATTCTGACATTTTAACCACTTCCCGTCCGGCCCATGTACATAAACAGCCGGACGGGAGCAGTGCCGATGCGGGTTGCCGTTTTTAAACGGCGCCCACATTAACTGCCTGTGCGCACTCCCGATCTCTGTACGGGACCTCTGGGTGAGGTCCCGATTCATGTGATTGGCCAATCAGTGATCACATGAATAGTAGTAAGCAAGATGTCACTTCCTGACATCATTGCTTACTACTAGTGAAATCTGTGAATGATCACAGAGGTCACATGGAACAAGGCTATTCACAACAACCTTGTACCATGTGACAAGCTGTGACCAATCACAGCTCTCACAGTATTTCTCAGTGGCTGCAAGAATGCAGCCAGAGAGAAGGAGAGAAAGTATTACTTTTACAGCCTTTATGGGTGTAAAAGCAATCTGTGTAAAAAAAAGAAAAAATCACCCTCCACAAGTAGTACAGTGTCACTATGGTGACACTGTACTGCTAGGGTGACGGTATGTTAAAAAAAACCAAAAAAAAAAACCACATAAATAATAATATAAAAAAAAAATAAAAATGTAAAAAAATAATAATTTTTGGTTATAAACTAATTTGGGTTATTTTTTTTTACTAAAAAGATAGCTGAATACATTTTGGCCAAGATTTATAAAGAAAGATTATTTATTTGCAAAATTTTAGAAGAAAAACACTTTTTTTTTTTCAAAATGTTTGGACTTTTTCATTTATATAGCAAAAAAATAAAAATCCCAGTGGTGAATAAATACCACCAAAATAAAGTTTTATCTGTCTCAAAAAAATGCTAAAATGCTAATCAATTCATATCGGTACAGTGTTGCATGACCTCACAATTGTCATTCAAAGTGTGATAGCGCTGAAAGCTGAAAATTGGCCTGGGGGTGAAAGTGTCTGGACTTGAAGCGGTTAATACTTAATTAGGTACCCAACTCTGTGCCTTTTAATACAGGCACAGAGTTAGGTACCTATGTACAACCACCCTTAATGTATAGATGTTTTCTTCAACTTTCATAAATGGAGGAAAATTGATAATTTAATAATTGAAGCTTTCCAAAAGTTGAGAAAATATTTAAATTTACCTGAAGATAAAACTTTGTTCTTAGCTTTGCATAGAGTGGAGAGGGATTAGAACACCTGTCAGTTTTTATTGCTGCCTTTGCCCCTGTTGTGGAGATTCACCCTCTCTATGTGTCCTGTTTATCATTAACAGTAAGAGTGAAAGCAAAAGAAAATCTCAAAGTTTTGGGTTGTCACTAGAACAGGAATAGAGGGAAAATCTTCCAATGGGAACACTACTTCTGATGACCCTGGTGGCAGTGAGGGACTCCCTCACTTTGGAGAGATTTCCTCTCATTTCCTGGTTTGGCCCACGTGGGACACATATGGCCAAAAAAAAACTGACTGGGGTTATAATCCTCTCTTACTCTATACAAAATGAAAAAATTGCCTTTAGTTTTACTTTAAAGCGGAGCTCCACCCAGAAGGGGATGTTCCGCTTTAAGGACTGCTCCCCATTAAGGATTGGCGCCTTTGGGGGACGGGGGGGGGGGGAGCTGGTACCCGAATTTGACAGGTACCGCTCCCAGTTTCTGTCCGATCGTGGAAGGTGTCCTCCCTCCCTCCCTGTAGTCTTTTGGGACACGTGACAGGTCCCAGAAGACTACAGGACCATTCATGAAAAGCAGCACTACTCACGCATGCGCAGTGGGTACCTGGCTGTGAAGCCGCAAGCTGCACAGCCAGATGCCCACACTGAAGATGCCGGCGCCTGGAATACAGGACGGCCGGTGAAACGGGCTGCGGGGAACACACCACAGGACCGAGGGACAGGTAAGTGGCTGTTTTTTAAAAGTCAGCAGCTACAGTTTTTGTAGCTGCTGACTTTTACTTTTTGACAGCGTGAGTGGAACTCCTCTTTAATTAGGGATTTTTATTAGTTAAAACTAAATGAAAAATATTTCAGTATATTTGCTGTACTTATAGATTCATAGACACTTTAAAAATCTAATGCCATGTAAAGCACACAGGCTGACCTCTTTATGTAAATTTTAGTTTCCTGCTTGGCATGCTTCTCTAATGGCATTAGAGTTAAAGTGGTTCTAAAGCCTAAACATTTTTTACCTTAATGCATTCCTTGCATTAAGGTAAAAAATGTTTAGGCATCCATTTTCGCTCCTCACCACCTCCCCCCCCCCCTCCTTATACTTACCTGATCCCTCATTCGATCTAGCAGTGTACACGTCTGCAGCTCTTCTCCCCTCTCTTCTGTGTCTCACTGACTTTGCTGTGACACTGGGAACTATTGGCTCATGCTGCTGTCAAACAATGTCAGTGACAAGGGAACTGGGGTGGGGACGAGTCCCACTGTCTGTGTCAATGGATGCTTGGGAGAGAGCATGCACAAGTGCCCCCATAGGAAGCAGCTTCCCATGGGGCACTGGACAGAGAGGAGGAGCCAGGAACGCCGGTGGGGGACCCGAGTAGAGGAGGTTCGGGCCATTCTGTCTAATTCCCTTTATAAGTATAAAGGTGGTTGTCACTTCTTTTTTTTCATTTACAATTATTTTAAATCCCATATATTATTCTTATTATACAGGATTTCTATAGCGCCAACAGTTTACTAGCGCTTTACAAAATGAAGGTAGACATTACAGTCACAATACAATTTGGTACAAGAGGAAACAGAGGGCATATACGGTATATATAAAATACAATTTAATTCAATTAACAAATAATTACATTGTTTTATTTAGAACTAGCATGAGTACCTAATTCTGTGTTGACATCAGCCGCCTGTGATCATTTGCACAGCAGCACCCAGACTGGGAGGGATGGGCACCAATAGGAGCGATTCTCCTGTATTCATATGTCCTGACACAGGGGAACATGCTGATAGGAGAAGAGAATAGAATGAACAAAGCTGATAAGATAACAGTGTGTTGCTTCTCCTTCAATGTCAAATCAGTGGGCTGTGAGCAGATCACAAAAGCGGCTGGACAAGAAACAAATCCTTTGGTAGATATTACTATTCATATATGAGTATTTCAAATGTGTGTTTAGCTGATTACCTGGACTTCACTGTTAATGGGTCATTGACCTGCATCAGTTATAAATATCTTGGGTTTTGACTTCACACTGCACTTTTCACATGTTTCTTTCATACACAGCCAGGCAACTAGCATTTTCAGAATGAGGTCAGCAGTGGTATCTTACATTTTTCTGTCCATACATTTCCTTTAAGAAGTTCTGGAAATGGTACATAAGGTTTATACATCTTTAGGCGTCTGTTTATGAACCAGCGGTAAATGATCGCTGCTCAGTTCTCCGGAATTCTCAGAGAACACAGTTCTCCTGCGAATGCCTTTTATGAAGCGGTGTAGATCAGTTCTCCAAACGAATGATCTACAAACTCTGGAAAACGGCTGATTTTACTATAATCCCGCGAGATTACAGTAAAAGATCAGTTTACTAAGCAGAGGTATATTATCTCTGCTTAGTTTGCGGTCCCTCCGATTCTCCAGCTCTGGGCTGGAGAATCTGGAGGGAGAACACAGATCTCCAGTGAAGAGCTGAACATGTTCTCCTGAGTGTCATAAATTGTGAATGACCAGAGAATAGCTGTGATCCTCTGAATCGCAGCTATTCTCTGTGTCATAAAAGGACACCTTAGTCACTTAAAACTGTAAAACGCTAGAAAGCTGTTCTGAGCAAAGTCATAATTCTGTTTGTCAGCCAAATATTGTACTATAAATGTACTATAAATGTGCCTGATAGTGATATTTTTTTTTTAAAGGAGCATTGGATTCACGCTGTAAGATCTGTATTTTTATGGGGAAGACAGATCCAGGTGCCCCTCGTCATAAGCAGCAATCAATGATCCTGGTACCCATGGACACTCCTGGAGTCACCATTCTGAGACCTCTCACTGTCTACGGATTAGATGATGCCCCAGGTATACACATAGGAACAGTGTGTATGTACAGTGCATTCATAAAGTATTCAGACCCCTTCACTTTTTTCAATTTTGTTATGTTGCAGCCTGATACTACAGTTGTTGAAATTATTTTTTTTCCTCATTAATCTATACTCCATATTTACAAAGTGAAAACAGAATTTTAGAAATATAATACACAAAATAGCAGGAGCCCTGCCTCAGTGCATGTTATGACATGAAAAACATGCTTAAATAATGAACACATAACAATAAATCATGAAATAAAGTCCCAAATGTGAAATCCAGTGAACAAAAATCCCTTTCAAATCCAGAAGGTGATAAGTGCTCTGTGCTCCCCGCCTGTGTGCCCCTACACTCACCTACTTTAATGGACTCTTATGGTGAAAGAAGAGTCTTTCATGCTTTTGGTGGGGCATAGGAAGTCATGCTGGAGCTTGTAGTCCTCCTGATTAAATGTTGCTTGTCATTCCCAGTGATTCAAATCTAGAGCATAGTAGGTACACTAGTATTCCACAAAGCTGCTAAGCTTAGTATCACCGCATCCGTGGTGCATTTAAACAACTGTAGTATCAAGAAGCAACATAACAAAATTTAAAAAATTGAAGGGGATTGGAATACTTTATGAATGCACTGTATTTAAGTAGATCTGTCAAAAACACAAAACAGCACAAAAAACATAACCGACTAGTATATACATTAAAATGGTTCTATAGACCCAAGGTTTTTTTTTTACCTTAATGCATTCTATGCATTATGGTAAAAAACCTTTGGCTGAAAACAGGTCACACATGTGCAGAATGAACGATGATTCACAAAGGGCTTTGGCTATACTTCTCCTTTAAAAAAGGTATAATAGGTGAGCGCACAAAGTGAACCACATAAACTGCTGGCATAAAGTATGAACCCCTGTATCCTCCAACAAATTTTAAACAAGTATGCAGCGCTATAAATAAGAAAGTGACTAGTATATGAAAGCGCAGAATATGACTGCGTAAAGAAATAAAGTGAAAAATATCGTCAACTAAATGACAAGTGCAAATGTGAATGGATGAGTAAAACAATCATAAATACATTAGTGAAATAAATATCCAGTGATCAATTGTTATACTCAAAATATAGAACCACAAGACACTTTAAGCTATCCTTATAAATCTGTAGTCCAGATAAACATGAATGGATGGGATGAACAAATGAAATAGTGAATAATATGGTGATCACTATAAAGGATGCTTAAATATAAGGTAACGATCATATATATAAAGTCCAATAAAGATGATGAATCAGACTTCCGTGCTCGTGACTTCTCGTGGTAAAATGAGGTGTGCTTGCACTCACCGGAAGCGCAAGTTATATGCGCATGCAATAATATCCGGGGAGAACACTGGTGGCCATCGGGGATCTGGTCAGGGGCAGGGGGCTCCACTGGTACACACACACAGGATTGGCACTCCAGACCTCTCAACCGGACCCTTGCAGCATACGTGGACAGCTCCTTCCTTGCGTTTCCACCATTAAAAACCAACTGCCAAAATGGTACTACTCCACCTTGAAATGGCTCAGATACAAGCCACCAGACAAAGGTTTTTGATAGTGTAGTACTTTAATTTATCATTGGCACAAATTTCAGGTATAGAAAATGTTAAAATAGTAAGCTTACAGAGCAGTAGATAATTTAGCAACCAAGATGGTTGCTGGACCAACATGCAGCCTTGGAGGTGTGACATCAGCACGGCCAAGGCTCCCTCTGACGCGTTTTCGCACAGAATGTGACAGCTGGGTGCCCACTGCACATGCGCGATAAGTGCTGTGCTTGTGAATGGCCCGGCATCTTCTGGGACCAGTCATGTGTCCCAGAAGACATCGGGCCATTCACAAAGCGCAGCAATTCACAGCCGGGTGCCCACACTAAAGATGCCGGCGCGGGAAGACTGTGCAGCGCTGGACCAAGGAACAGGTAAGGTCCTGCTGCAGAGAAGAGCTGAGTGGCCGGCCCAGTATTCTGACACGGTGGCGGAAATACCTGACTGGCCGCTCAATATTCGCTCCCTTTTTTTGTGGGAAAAAAGTGCGTCTTATGGAGTGAAAAATACGGTAGTTAAAATTAAAATACACAGTACGTTTCCTACATTACATTTCTGCAGGATCTGGTGACGTAAGAATAGGACACTTTACTGCCATGTAATTAACCAATTAGTGCTGTGCAATACTATACCGGACTTTTTTTTTTGTTGTCTTTATCTCACAGCTGGACATGGAGAATTGACATTTGACAACGTACGTGTGCCTAAGGAAAACATACTCCTCGGTAGAGGCAGAGGATTTGAGATTGCACAGGGCAGGCTGGGTCCAGGGAGAATACATCACTGTATGAGGCTTATTGGAAATGCAGAGAGGTGTCTGACTCTCATGAAGCAGAGGGTGAGTTTCTAGTTTTCTCTGCAATTACTTTAAAGAAGTTTAAGAGGTGCCAGTATATTGGCAGATGCCAGATTGGTTAGACCAAGTGCTAGACGGTTACAAAGCCAGTCATAGGATAAGCCTGTCAAAATTCTGGGCAAACCAAACAGCGTAAGTAGATCCTCTCTTTTGTCAGTAAGGTCACCAATCACATCAAGTCTAGATCTACTAAATATTTTCACATGAGGTGATAAAGTATTTGTTTTACCAAATGCTTAGTATGAATTATAGTAAAACCAGACAGACTCTGGATTTGATACAAAAGATGGTGAGTAAGAAAATGGTGCAAAGGCTATGTAAGATATTGTATGTTTCTTCTATGATTCTCTTGGGACACTTGGCAAAATGTAAAACGATTAAAATGTATTTTGTGCACCCACACCAATTGTGTTGTAATGCACCCTAGTGCAAAAAAACCATCTCCAGCTCTAATGAGGTACTGTACCTTTTAAATGGCATGTACTACTATAGGCGCTGCCTGGTCTGTGCTATATATGATCAAAGTGATAAGTATACATTCAACACCAATGAATTACATTAACACAGTGTTCCTCAACTAGGGTTCCCCCAGAGGTTGCTAGGAGTTCCTTGAGCAATTCCTGCCTTTCAGATAAGTTCCCTCTGACACCATTGGTCTTTTTAGCTATCTATAATTGGGTAATTCTTCCCACTGACCATCACACTAATGTATCTTGAGTTGTAGATATAGTCACATTTCTAGCAGGGGTTCCCTGAGACCGGAAACTTATTTCAAGGGTTCCTCTGTGTTGAAAAGTTTGAGAAAGGCTACATTAACATCAGATCATAACGTGAAAAATCAAATAACTTGCATAAAATTAAATGAGTCCATATTTTTGTGATTCTTCAGTCATTCAAACTGTGACAAGCAACTGTGCTTTCTCATAAAGTGCTTCATGCTATTCCTTTGGTGGCAGTTCAAATATGGCGCTCCCTTCCTGCGTGCCCTCACACTGACCAGAAAATGTGAACTCTTAAGTATTAATAAGAGTCATGTACGCTGTATGATAATCTTGGTTGGTCTGGAGTAGTCCTCCTGGATATGTATATTATGTTTCCCACTTCAGTATACCATAGTGATGTTGATTTATCTCATGGTACATATATATGAAAGATAATGTAGAAGATCAATATAGTGTGATTCCGTTTTATTGTAAAATTGTGATAAAAACAATTGCACTTACATACAGTTGTGTTCAAAATAATATCAGTCAGACATCACTAACCTGATCAATCACTGTTTTTGGTAGAAATGATATTTCTACATGGCAAATAATTTACTAGCAGGTGTAGTAGAGTAATAGAAATCCAACAGACCCAACAGTCATGACATGCATGCTGCTGATTCTGTGTAATTGAATCACTAATTGAAAGGGGCATGTTCAAAATAATAGCAGTGTGGAGTTCTATTAGTGAGGTCATTCATTCTTTGAAAAACAGGTGGCAATTATTCCCTTATTTAAGGAAGGAAGGCAGCAAATGTTGTACATGCTGGTTACAGTGCATTTCTCTCTGAAATTCTGAGGAAAATGGGTCGTTCCAGATATTGTTCAGAAGAACAGCGTACCTTGATTAGAAAGTTGATTGGAGAGGGGAAAACATATAAAGAAGTGCAGAAAATGATAGGCTGCTCAGCTAAAATGATCGCAAATGCTTTAAAATGGCAACCAAAACTTGAAAGACATGGAAGAAAGCGAAAAACTACCATTCGAATGGATAGAAGAATAGCCAAAATGACAAGGACTCAGCCAACAATCAGCTCCAGGAAGATCAAAGAAGGTCTAAAGTTACCTGTGAGTACTGTTACAATTAGAAGATGCCTATGTGAAGCCAACCTACCTGCAAGAAGCCCCCGCAAAGTCCCACTGTTGAAAAAAAGACATGTGCTGAAGAGGTTACAATTTGCCAAAGAGCACATCGACTGGCCTAAAGAGAAATGGCGCAACATTTTGTGGACTGATGAAAGTAAGATTGTTCTTTTTGGGTCTAGTGGCCGGAGACAGTTTGTCAGACGACTCCCAAACACTGAATTCAAGCCACAGTACACTGTGAAGACAGTGAAGCATGGTTGCGCAAGCATCATGATATGGGGATGTTTCTCATACTACGGTGTTGGGCCTATTTATTGCATACCAGGGATCATGGATCAGTTTGAATACATCAGAATACTTGAAGAGGTCATGCTGCCTTATGCTGAAGAGGAAATGCCCTTGAAATGGGTGTTCCAACAAGACAACGACCCCAAACACCAGTAAACGTGCAACATCTTGGTTCCAGACCAACAAGATTGACGTTATGGAGTGGCCAGCCCAATGCCCGGATCTTAATCCAATAGAAAACTTGTGGGGTGACATCAAAAATGCAGTTTCTGAGGCAAAACCAAGAAATAGAGAAGAACTGTGGAATGTAGTCCAATCATCCTGGGCTGGAATACCTGTTCACAGGTGCCAGAAGTTGGTTGACTCCATGCAACACAGATGTACAGCAGTTCTCAGAAACAGTGCTTATCAACTATATATTAATTAAGTGATTCAAAGGAAAGCAAAATCTTCAAACATTTTTCAGTTTATATAGTGAATGTTTGAGTTTGTAAAGAAGAATACAAACACTGCTATTTTTTTTGAACAGTCTAATATTCACTTTATTTTAAGTTTTTTAGAGGAACAACACAAATTTGATATATTTTTCTTCATGTTTTGATTTGGAATAGAATGTGTAGTGTTCCCAATGCATTTGTGTGTATGGAAATAAAAGCTATTAGAAGGTTTTTTGAGCTTTATTCACTTTTTTCAACACACTGCTATTATGTTGAACACAACTGTACTTAGTAAAAACAAAGCAGGTTGACAAATTGGAAGTAGCGCACCGGCATTCATCTCACTAGCTGGAAATGACGTTGCCAGCAGCTGTCAGATTATGCGCTTCGCCCCTCCTCCAGGGATGTAATAAGAGTTATCAATGATAGAGGACATAGGGTGTAGCAAGATGGAGGATATAGTACTATATAAAGCTGAATACACTTTAAGATGGCTGAGATAGGACGCAGATATGACATCAGATAGGGCAGGAAGTATGCCACAGGAAATGTTGAGATTAGAGAAGAAGGGTTGAATGGTATAAATAAGCTGTCTATCACCATCAGTATAGCCTTTGAGGACACCCTGGAGGAGGGGTGAAACGTGACAGATGACAGCTCCTGGCGATGTCATTTCCGGCCGGTGAGACAAATACCGGTGCGCTACTTCCAGTTCAGCAATCTGCTTTGTTTTATAATATCTATGTAAGTGCAATTGTTTTTAATCACAGTTTTACAATAAAACAGAATCACACTATATGGATCTTCTATATTATCGTTCATATATATGTACCATGAGATAAATCAATATCGCTATGGTATACTGAAATGGAAAACAGAATTCTGTATAAATATCCAGGAGGACTAAAAGCTCCAGACCAACCAAGATTATCATACAGTGTACATGACTCTTATTAATACCTTAGAGTTCACATTTTCTGGTGAGTGAGTGGGCACACAGGAGGGGAGCACCATATTTGCAATGCCACCAAAGGAATAGCGTGAAGCACTTTATGAGAATGCACAGTTGCTTGTCACAGTTGAATGATTGAAGAATCACAAGAATTTGAGCTCATTTAATTTAAGTTCTTTGATTTTTCACATTGTTATGTTTTGATGTTAATGTAATTCATTGGTTTTGATTGTATACGTATCACTTTGATCATGTACAGCACAGACCAGGCAGCGCCTATAGTAATACATGCAAAATGTAAGAAGAAAATCATTGTAGGAGAACAACTACTGTTTCCCCTTTCAGATCATCACTATTATGTTTCTTAGGTTAAATCAAGAGTTGCTTTTGGCAAACCCTTAGCTGAACAGGGAACAATTCTTGCAGACATTGCGAAATCCAGAGCAGAAATTGAGCAGGCAAGGCTGCTTGTTCTAAAAGCTGCATACCTTATGGACACCGTTGGCAATAAGGTAATATGTTTCTACTGCTCTTATTGGAGTTTTTTTAAGTCACTTGTCTTTGTTAAGATATAGTGGTTGGTATGTACGAGAAGAAGAAAGAAATAGCTGAACAGGAAATACCTGTTTCTCCAAAGCTAAATCACTATTTAAATGTACAGCAGAAGTGTATTAAATGGTAAGGCCACCAAAAATTGACATTCTAGGTATAATCGGGTAGTCAACCCCTCTGGCTTCTAATTAGCCTACAGTAAATTCTCTGTTCCTCTCCACCTTTCTGTTATCATTGCTTTATATAATATAATGTGTAGCTACACAGAAATGTTTCTATGTTGTTTTTTTGGCTGTTTTTATTCCCCTCCTTACTTTTTGTCTAGGAAGCAGCTTTGGAAATTGCCTTGATCAAAATGGTGGCACCATCTATGGCACAAAATGTAGTAGATCGAGCAATTCAGGTAAGGTCTGTCCATCCGACTTTATGCAGCACACATGTATTTCCAGGCATGATCAATAGTTAGGCCAGCTGTAAATGGGTTAATCTCAGGGCAATGATTTTCATCAAAGCTCTGACTATGCTTTATTTTGTATCATAGGGATCTGACTTTTATCTACAACTTTCCAGGAATTTCTGTTGTGGCACATATGCCTCAAAAGCCCTAGCTTTACATGGATAATAAAAAGTAATGATTTCTGAAAGATCATGGACATTTCCCAGTACGTTGGAAAATATCTGTGTTAGATAAATGGCACTTGGACTTCATAGAGCTCATTTTTGAACTGAGGTTATCTCTTATGTGGTCTGTGATACTGAATACGGTTGTAAAGGTTAATTTTTTTTTTTTTTTAAATAACAAACATGGTGTACTTACCAATGCACAGAGCACCATCTCCTCCTTTTCTGGGGTCCCCCACTGGCGCTTTCAGCTCCTCTTTTCTGTGTGCACCTGTGGGCTCGTTCCTGAGCTGGGCATACAAATATTGGCAAATAACAATGAAAACTGTGCGCCACAAGCAAAACCAAAAATAAAAGGAAACACAGATGAGTGTGATTATGGCTGCTGCAGTCTTCAGATTGTGTCTAATTTCCACATTAGTGAGAACTCTGAATGTGTATATAGACTGCGCTGCAAAAATGTGAACCAAAATTACTTAATTTGCCACATGTGATAATGCAAAACATGAGAAAAAAATTATATAAATAGACAACACAAGAAAGTACAAAAAATGTCCAATGTATCAGTAAGCCCCATTCGTGGATTTACACTCACCACAATAGATGGACCTTCGATTACTAGATAGGTCTCACTGCACTTTTTTTTGGTTGGACCCGCTGTGTGTCACCAACTTGACCATTCACATGTACCAGGAATGAGATTTCTTTCCATGCAATACACTGCCACTCAAAATACTGTATCAGGGGAAAGGTTCATTGCGCGAACCAGATTACTTTATTAAATCATATAAACCTAACATGTATATGTGCCTAGGGACCGGCACCAGGTCCATACAGTGCTTGTTGTTAAGATGGCTGTCACCATCCCAAAATCAGAAGCTGACTTGCGCTCCAGGGATGGGATGTGATGGGATGTATCAGCTGGGTTACACTGCTTCAACTAGTTTTGTCTGTAATTGGACGTCTTCAGGAAGCTGGTGTTCACCATTTTGGAAGCTGGATTTATACCATGCCGAATTAACGCTTTGGGGACCAGATGTGAACTAGTCAGTACGCATCACTGGATGTTCCCCTATTGCCGCCATATAATCACTTTATATGGATACACATTCACAGGTACAGTCTATGTTACCACAAAGTAAGACTAAAATATTTAGCAATAAGCAATAACTAATCCTGGGCATCCACTTATTGTTTTGCAGTATACTTAAACATGCCCTAACCTGTCTCATATTGCACATTGCACACTAGTGGGTGTCACTATTATGGATTGCAAGTGAATCACACAATACAAGTATACAACAACAAAAACTATACTAAAAAAAATGGTTAAAAACATAATTCGTATAATCTAAAAAATGCACCTAAAATACTAAATACTTTCAATAATCAAAGCCTACGTGATCTAGGTAACTGTTTTCAACATGTTTCTATTTTCACCAAAAGACAATGTATTATGCATAAACGCATGTACACATGCATACCATGTAAACACATGGAATTTTGGAAAACTTTCAAATAAAAATTACTAATGAACAGTTGAAGCCAGTAAATGAGCCAATAATACATTATACACAAATGCATGTAAACATGCATGGGCTGGGGTATAAATCCAGCTTCCAAAATAGTGAACACTAGCTTCCTAAAAATGTCTAATTACAGACAAAACTAGTTGAAGCAGTGTTAACCAGCTGAAACATCACATCCCATCCCTGGAGCGCAAGTCAGCTTCTGATTTTGGGGGCGGTGGCAGCCATCTTAACAACAAGCACTGTATGTACCCGGTGCCAGTCCCTAGGCACATATACCTGTGAGTGCAGTGTCATTGTTAGGTTTATATGATTTAATAAAGTCAGCTGCTATGCGTTATTGCGCATAGCAGTTGACTTTATTAAATCATATAAACAGTAGTATCAGGGAAAAGGTTAATTACCTTTTCCCTGATACTTTTTTGAGTGGCAATGTATAGCATGGAAAGAAATCTCATTCATGGAACATGTGTAAATGGTCAAGTTGGTGACAAGACACACAGTGGGTCCAACCAAAAAAAGTGCAGTGAGACCTATCTAGTAATAGAAGGTCCATCTATTGTGGTGAGTGTAAATTCCACGTGGGGTCACCTGGTGCACCTGGAAGTGGTCACCTGTTTTTTCTGTTAATAATGGCACCAGCACCCGTTCACCTATCTTTTGGCTTTCAAGCAGCTATTATTTGAATGGAACTTACTGTTACATTGGACATTATTTGTATTGTGTTGTCTGTTTATACAATTTTATTTCCATGTTTTGCATTTTCACATGTGGCAAATTGTTAAGTAATTTTGGTTGATATTTTTGGCATCACAGTCCATATACACATTTATTGGGAATACAAATACTGGGATATTTTTTATTTTAATGCGGGAATAAATACAGTTAAAACATATCTTGCTTTTACAATCGCTTGAAGTCTATGATCTGGCTTGAAAATACAAAGATATTCATAGTTATTCTTAGATACTCAAATGCTGTGAATAGCTTAAAGTCAAAGGATTGCTATCCTTGATTAAAGCTGGCTATACGCTACATCAGATTTATAAATAAGTACAATGACGTATTATTGCCCTTGGTAGCAAACGTCAGTTATTCTTCATGGCAGCAGCAGAAAGAGCAGAAGTTCAGCTGTGATAAGATAAATTAAAAATAATATAATGACTAATGCTACAGTATAAAGGGTTTGTCCTGTAAGTCTTGAGTAGGAATATACTGTGTGTTTATAATTAGATACAGTGCTGTGAAAAAAGTATTTGCCCCTTTCCTGATACTTTTTTTTTTTTTGCATATTTGTCACACTTAAAGCGGAGTTCCAGCTGAATAACAATACAGCCACTTACCTGTCCCTTGGTCCAGCAGTGTCCTCACCACTGCTGGTTTCACCGTCTGTCTTCTCTCCCTGGTGCTGGCACCTTCAGTGTGGGCACCCGACTGTGATAGCTTGTGGTTTCACAGCCGGGTGCCTACTGTGCATGCGCGAGAAGCGCTGTGCTTTGTGAACGGCCCCTTAGTCTCCATAGTCTTCTGGGACCTGTCATGTGTCTCAGAAGACTACGGAGAGGGACGGGGGAGGACAATTTCCGCTTCCGATCGCCTAGGCGATCGCAGTGGAAGTGGGAGCAGGTACCCGTCAAATTTGGGTACCCGCTCCCCAAAGGTGCCAATCCTTAATGGGGAGCGGGGGAGGACAAGGCATTAAAGCGGAACTTTCCCTTTTGGGTGGAATTCCACTTTAAAGCAGAATTCTGGGATCTTATTTTTTTTTTTTTTTTTGTCCATGCAGAGGCAGGGTTAACTGCTCATTTTGTTCTAGGGGAGAGGACACAAAGATATACTCACCGGACCTGGTGATCCTTCCAGCTCAAGACTGGTCCATTCGGCTCCTGCTACCCCACGGTTTAGCAGTCTTGTGAGTGGACTGTTCCTGACATCAGCATGCTGAACGCACGCTCCATAGACAGGAATAGTCCACTGCTGGACTGTAGGATCAGCAGGTCCAGTGAGTATGAGTTTTGTCCTCACCCTTAGAAAAAAACGAACAGCTAATCCATGCAGTGGGGGGTCCCATTGCATGCTAAAAAAAAAAAATTTAAGTTCTACTTTAAATTATTCAGATCATCAAACAAATTTTAATATTACACAAAGATAACCTGAGTAAATACAAAATGCAGTTTTTAAATGATTTAACTTTTAAGTGAAACAAAGCTGTCCAAACCTGCCTGGCCCTATGTGAAAATGTAATTGAGCCCCTTTTCCCCCCTTGCTAAATTATGAATGAACTGTGATTAACCACATTTTTTGAAAAGCTAAAGAGTTAAATTTCATTTGCCAGACCTGTTGAATCAAGAATCGCGCTAAAAGATCTAAAAAAGCAACACATCATGCCACAATCTAAAGAAATTCAAGAACAGATGAGAAACAAAATAATTGACATGTATTAGTCTGGAAAGGGTTACAAAGCCATTTATAAGGCTTTGGGAATCCAGAGGACCATGGTGAGAGCCATTATCCACAAATGGAGAAAACTTGGAAAAGTGGTGAACCTTCCCAGGAGTGGCCGGCCTACCGAAATTACTCCAAAAGCGCAACTCGACACAACGACTCATCCAGGAGATCATAAAACACCCAAAACAACATGTAAAGAACTGCAGGCCTCACTTGCCTCAGTTATGAAAGATAAGATAAGAGACTGGGCAAAAATGGAACCCATGGGAAAGTTCCAAGGCGAAAGACACTGCTGACCAAAAAAGAACACAAAGGCTCCTCTCATATTTAAAAAAAACATCTTGATTATCTCCAAGACTTTTTGGAAAATATTCTGTGTACTTTTGAGACAAAAGTTAAACTTTTTGGAAGGTGTGCATCCCATTACATTTGGCGTAACACAGCATTTCATAAAAAGAACATCATATCAACAGTCAAACATGGTGGTGGTAGTGTGGAAGTCTGGAGCTGCTTTGCAGCTTCAGGAACCAGATGACTTGCCCATAATTGATGGATGCAAAAAATAAATTCTGCACCGTACCAGAAAATTCTGAAGGAGAATGTACAACCATCAGTTTGTGACCTCAAGCTCAAGAGCACTTGGGTTATGCAGTAGGACAATGATCTGAAAGACACCAGCAAGTCCATCTCTGAATGGCTCAAAAAAACAACAACAAGGTTTTGGAGTGTCCTAGTGAAAGTCCGAACTGAAATCCGATTGAGATGCTGTCGCATTACCCTAAACAGGCTGTTCATGCTCAAAACCCTCCAATGTGGCTGGATTAAAACAATTCTGCAAAGAGTGGACCTAAATCCCTCCACGGACATCTCAATTACAGAGATTATAGTTGTTGCCATCAAGGGTGGCACAGCCAGTTACTTTTTCACATAGAGCCAGGCAGGTTTGGACAGCTTTTTTTACCTTAATAAATAAAATCCTCATTTAAAAAATGGATTTTGTATTTACTCAGGTTATTTTTGTGTAATATTACATTTACTTGGTGATTTGAATCTTTTAAGTGTGACAAATATGCAAAAATAAATAAATAATCGGGGGGGGGGGGGCAAATACTTTTTCACAGCACTTTATATAGATAGTCTGTGTATGTATATATTGATTTGATGAGCTATTTTTCACTCTGTCTTATTTTATTCTTAAGGCATTTGGTGCTGCAGGCCTCAGCAATGACTTCCCTCTTGCTCAGTTCCATGCCTGGGCAAGGGCGTTACGCCTGGCAGATGGACCCGATGAAGTTCACCGACTGACAGTAGCTAAAATAGAACTGAAACATTAAAATGTAATTGACAAGATAAAGAATTAACTCCTGCGCTACCTCAATGTGACCATGTAATGAATAATAATGTATAGAGCTGCTGCTAGCATCAAAAATTGTGTTCCCACAATAATAAATAAATTGGGGTTCCTCCATTCTCCTGGTCATCTACAGTTTTAGAACCACTGGATGCCCCCTCTTTCCTTTGATCGCCGAACCAGAGAAAAAAATGGTCCCTTTAAGGGACCATTTTTTTTGGAGTACAGGCACACAACACTGAAGCTAGCTAGAAGCCAGCTGCAAGGAATGCATTCTTGTTGTCAGTGCTTGCCTTTTGCAAGTGCTGGGACCTGACGACAGGCACTCTCTATCAAAGCAGCCATTCTCCTGCTAGATGCAGTATCAGGTAGCCATAAGCCAAAGGTGGGGGGCACCCTGCTCGACATTGCAGCTAGCGATATAGGGCACACAGAGGGGCGGGAGAAAGTATTTGATGTACTTAGTCCCATCTGCAAGTCAATAATGTAACAAAAGTGATAATTCTTCTTTAACTGATCTCAAAACGCCTGTGTGTGTTATACCAAAGAGGCCCTGTTTACTTACATTATGAAATGTTTTTCTATACACCGGCCAGCTAACCTTCTGCAATGATTGTAATGTTGAAAGCAATACTGCATAAAATAAATTTGTACCTTTTGATTGCTCTGTGTACTTTTCAGTCCTTTCTCTTTGGCCCTATTTGCAGAGGTGGATTAGACTTTGTACTTCTGGCATCTACTTGAAAAAATTAAACCGAAAAAATGGAAATAGTTGGTGAGGTTTATGCGATTATTTTAGCTGGTTACAATGTAATGAAGACTGAAATATATATAATTTGTATGCAAGTTTTTTTTAAATAAAATGTTTTTGTTTGTAATGTGAATCTTGACTTTGTTTATATTTTATATATTTTTGATAATTAAAGTGTTACTAAACCCACAACAGTAAAATCAGTCTGTATATGCAGTAAAGCATGCTTGTTATACTTACTGTGGAACCTAAGGGGTTAATCCTCCACATTGTGTAAAAAGGCCATTTTATCCTGTTTTCTCTGCCCCTCCTCTTGTTTAGATGACCACCTGGTAAGACAGACTGAACCTGTAGCCACATGCACATGCTCAGTTTAGTGTGCATTGCTAGAGAGGTTTTTTTTTTTTTCTTGGGCAAGTGCACGTGTTTAGCACAGGGCCAATCAGCACTGTCCAGACAGAGGGTCAGGGGTTTTGCATCCTCCTAGAGCAGAATGAAAACTCCTCCTACAAGCTTTAACCAGTGCTCTGCTGACGTCACAAGACTGCTCTACCTGCTGATGAGAAAAGGTATTTATCAGTTTATATTTACTAAAATAATTGCATTTCCATGTTGTGTGTACTGTGGGAGACCAGATATAGTGAATGCAGGGTCATGGGTTTAGTAACACTTTAAAATCAAGCAAACCGAGATCAGAAGTATTATTTCAGGAATGCATGATGGAAAAAAACACACCCATACACACATTATTATCTGTATTTATTTTCTGATTAATAAGAAAGCTTGACTACATCTCATTTCTGTATAATAAGTAATTAAATTATTGGAGATTAAATAGGCATATTACTAAAAGTTTTTCAAAAGCCTGCATTAAGCATTCCCTGCATTAAAAAAAATGTTCCAGTGTTTGTATCACCCCCTCACCCCCCTTTATACTTACTTGAATCCTATTTACATATTGCACTGTGCCAGTCTGCAGCAGATCTCTCCTGTCTCTATGCTCAAAGAGCCAAGGGCTCCCGCTGCTGTCAATAAAATCCTGTGAGCAGAGAGCAGGATCTGGGCTGAGCCGTGCTGTGAGTGTCAATAGATGCACACAGCCTGGCTCTGGATCCAGACCGCAGGTGTGCTCCAATAGCACGTGACATGCTATGGGGCACACAAAGAAGAGGAGGAGAAAGAGCGCCGGCGGGGGACCCAAAAGAGGTGGTTTGGGCAGGCTCTGTGCAAAACCATTACACAGAGCAGGTAAATATAACGTCTATTTTTTTTTTAATTTAAAAAAATACTTTTACACTTGAAACAGCTCTGGAGCTCAGCTGGCTACATTTGTTCAGGTACTGTAAAATAATAGTAACTACAGAAACTCCAGACAGTATGTTATCTAATATTCACTAAAAATATGATTTGTATTCCTTTTTAATGTAAAAAAAATCTTATCAACTTTTTAAACCTTTTTTTATAATTGTATCTGTACGTGTGGTTAGCCATTGTATATAAGATTGCATTTTATTTATGCAGGCACTGCTTGATAATTCTTCCTCACTACAGGGGTCTGACCTACCCTATAATATAATATATATATATTATAATATTAAAGGCCAGTATTGGTGGGCTTGGGGCTTTTGTCAATGACATCAGTTTGACATCAATCCCAGGTCATTCAGAATTCATTAACAGGTATATTTTACCTGCAGTTGATCTTGTTCTTACCTGAAATTGACCTTCGAGTAGATATTCATTCATAGAGACATTTTCCTAGCAATCTTAATTTTTTGTCTTTCCTCCACTTACATGTTCTATCAGTAGCACTGTGTGTTAAATGTGACTGCATAGTCTATTTGGCATCAGAGTTTGGCCACGCTGCTCATAGCACAGCCTAATTTAGAAGAGCCGGATGGATGCTTGTGACGAGAGGGATGGTTGTTTACATTCCTGTTATGAGAAATTATTATTTTAAGGCAGTTAGAAGTAAAAATAGTTAAAAAGAATAGCATGTGATGGTCTATTAGGACAAGACTATACAGAGAGAAAAGGTGTGAGACTTAGGCTCCATGTACACTGCAGCTGATAAACTCACGTTTAGGAGCTGTTCTGCGTTTTTTTTCAGCAGCCCCTGAACTCTCCCTAATGTTTTCCTGTGTCCATGTACACTATGTCGTTTACAGTCATTTACATGCAGTTGAGTTTACAGTTGTTTTTTTAAACGTACCAAACATGCGTTCAGGAGTAGATTTTATCAGCGTTTCAAATGCCAAAATGCTTGTAAATGCGGCTAACCGTGTTTATAAGCGTTTGGAAATTTTTTTTTCACTCTTCCATTTCCAGATGCTGTCCAGCATCATGATGCAAAGCGTTTTCCCGGGACTCAAATTGACCTGGTACATCATACTTTGAGGTTGAGAAAATATGTTAGACACTGCTGCAATAATTTTCTGCACAGAAATGAGCTGGAACACATCCAAACACACCACAAAAAAAGACAGCTAACCTCAACAAATACTGTTCTCAAAATGTCTGAAATAGTTAATTTTTACTTTACTGTTTTTAGTGCATTCTGGGCATTTTGGAAGGTCTCCTGAGGTTATCTTAAAAAAACGCTTCTAAACGCAAACGTGCATAAACACGGTAAGCAAACGCAGCTAAACTGACGTTTTTTTTAACCTACGTTTTCCAGCAGTCAGTTTCCATCGTTCAGAAGTGTCCCGTGTACATGGAGCCTTAAAGTAGGTTTTAAAGGAGAAGACTGTGAAGACTGAAGAGTGGTTGGGTGATACCAGTCACGTCACACTCCTAAAATCACTGAGGACCATATTAAAAACATGCTGATGGAGGTGTGGGGTCCTGAAGGCGATAAGTACACCAAAAGTGAACCTGGACTATACTAACATACTGAAGAGACCTCAAGGTGCCTGCACATATCTTCAGTTATTTTCAGAGTTCCCTAGGCAAAGCATAAGAGGCTCTATTATGGAAAATATTGACTTTGGCCCACTCCTTTCCTTTTGCCTTTGTTTTATCATTGCCTTATGTGATAGGCTGCTTTACTGATAGTGAGGGGTAAATGTGGCAAGCAGAATTTGGCTTCTACAGAAAGAGATTAGATTGTGTATCATTCTATTTGCCTAGATCTCAGGGATACATTTATTGACAAGCAGTATTCATTGGAGGTAACCTTTGTGTATGTGTTTTTTTTTATCTTGTGTTTAGCTTGAATTGGCTATGTGGTGCACAGAACTACAGATTGGGCATGTAAATGATTAAACTCACTAATAAAATTCAAGCACTAATGAAAGTTGTCCTTGTGACGATCGTGGTATCAAACCCCAGCCCTTCTCACCAAACTTGTGACCGAAGGGCTAGCCAATCTAAAACTGCGCTGTCACGTGCCTAACAATGCCACGCCCAGCTGCACTCTGCACAAAGATTTTCCAGCTAATGGTCCACAATCTGTGTATCTGCAGCCAGGGAGCGATTGTTACTGGGTCAGGTTAATTACGCAATTAACCCTTCACACTGCCACCACCACCTTTTTTGTACAGAGAAAAGGGAAACTCTGCGATATCAGCAATAACTCTATGATGTTTGCATAAGCGTCGGTATACCACTGTCACCGCAGGCAGAGATATACCGAAGTGTAAAACACACACACACGTAGCACTCTTCAGAGGCAGGGGTTCTTAGTTTGCATTAAAGAGCTTTAGAAACAGTTCAACATATTTCGGAAAAAGATTTATAACTAAAAGGTCACATATGCAATAAAAATATTTACAGAAAAAAATGTATATATATATATATATACACACAGAGAGCAATAACACAGCAAAGAGATAACAGAAAGAAGTTTAGAGGGATAAAGTACTTGCCGTCAACCTTGGTTTAAGCAGCTTTCAAGTGTCAGAGCAAAAGGGTGCTTTTATCTCCCAAAGTTGGTTCCGATGTTACAAGGAAGAATCTTCAACTTAACTCAACTCAGCTTAGGTTAGCTTTTTCTAGGAACTCAGCAGGGTGTCTCCTTAAAGCAGAGAACCAATCGCCTCATTTGGGGAGGGGTGTTGGGGCGGAGACCCAAGTTAGAACCAAAAACCCTCGCAGTTGATGTCATGGTTCATAAATTACTCTTGGTGCGTTTAGCATTCCACCCACGGGTAGATTAATATGCAGAATGGTCTGCTGAATGTCTAGGTATGAAATATGACATACCTGTTGTGACGGTTAAGGAGATATCAGTT